AGGGAAGGAGGTTCTCACCCGTCCATCGTTCCTTTGATGCGGTGAAGTTGTCCTGTCCCCTTAGCAGAAAAACACCCCAAAAGCATAATGTTTCCCACCTCCATGTTTGAAGGTGGGGATGGTGTTCTTGGGGTCATAGGCAGCATTCCTCCTCCTCCTCCTCCTCCAAACATGGCGAGTTGAGTTGAGTTGAGTTGATGCCAAAGACCTCGATTTTGGTCTCATCTGACCACAACACTTTCACCCATTTCTCCTCTGAATCATTCAGATGTTCATTGGCAAACTTCAGACGGGCCTGTATTTGTGCTTTCATGAGCAGGGGGACCTTGCGGGCGCTGCAGGATTTCAGTCCTTCACGGCGTAGTGTGTTACCAATTGTTTTCTTAGTGACTATGGTCCCAGCTGCCTTGAGATCATTGACAAGATCCTCCCGTGTAGTTCTGGGCTGATTCCTCACCGTTCTCATGATCATTGCAACTCCACGAGGTGAGAACTTGCATGGAGCCCCAGGCCGAGGGAGATTGACAGTTATTTTGTGTTTCTTCCATTTGCGAATAATCGCACCAACTGTTGTCACCTTCTCACCAAGCTGCTTGGCGATGGTCTTGTAGCCCATTCCAGCCTTGTGTAGGTCTACAATCTTTTCCCTGACATCCTTGGAGAGCTCTTTGGTCTTGGCCATGGTGGAGAGTTTGGAATCTGATTGATTGATTGCTTCTGTGGACAGGTGTCTTTTATACAGGTAACAAGCTGAGATTAGGAGCACTCCCTTTAAGAGTGTGCTCCTAATCTCAGCTCGTTACCTGTATAAAAGACACCTGGGAGCCAGAAATCTTTCTGATTGAGAGGGGGTCAAATACTTATTCCCTCATTAAAATGCAAATCAATTTATAACATTTTTTACATGCATTTTTCTGGATTTTGTTGTTGTTATTCTGTCTCTCACTGTTCAAATAAACCTACCATTAAAATTATAGACTGATCATGTCTTTGTCCGTGGGCAAACGTACAAAATCAGCAGGGGATCAAATACTTTTTTCACTCACTGTACATGTTACATGACAGCTATTTGGACAAGTCCATGAGGCTCTTCGTCTTTTACGAAGTACGATAAACTTACATGTTGTAAGGACCTTATTTATATATTTTTCCGTAAAAGCACACGGATGTGTGTGAAACGGATAAGCAAAAATGTGTGATTTTGTCATATACGTATACGAAAATATGCCTTTTGAATTTTGTCTAAGGTTAGTACTAGTAGCTAGTAACCTAGTCATGGATGCATCATGCAATATTGGCACACCATATTTTGTTACAAAGCGGAACAAAAGTAAACCTTGAATTTGGAGGATTAAAATATCCCACTGGTGGCCAAGTTGACCTATTTTAAGAAATGCCATTGGTTGGTGGATATAAAGTCTAAGATCTTGATAGGAATTTGTTACAGGAAATAATCACCGGCCAATTCGTCAGGTTAGCTTAGGGCTAAATGTGCCAGGTTATCTTATGGGAACAGCTATACATGTAGCGTTATATCACGTGCCACTACGTCTGATTTTAAATTGTCTGATGTGGATTTTGAGACAGAGAATTTTTTTAAACTGGGGGCTCTATTCAATCTATCACTGAAGCGTTACAGATTGCGCAATATTTAATTTAAAGCTAATTCCGATTGAGCCGACATATGCAGCGCTTACTGTGAATGCATTCTCTGCTAACGCGGGAAAATGTCCTTTAAATTTCCATCACGTAGCGCTGAACTTCAGCGATACCGATTGAATAGAGCCCTTAAACTTGTTCACAAGTATGGACCCAATAAGATCCCGCGTTAGCGGGCAAACGCATAGATTTTAATTTATTTTATTTAGACGTGTCGGAGGTGTAATTGCGTGAGAGCTGAGACCGCATTTACGGTCACTTCATATGTCCGCTCAATTGGAAATGACCTTTAAAAATGCTACAAAGTGCGATCGGATTGTAAATTATTGCCAGAGTCTGGTGTAGCGGTACCGCTCCTGACTCCGGACCAAACATACTGCTCGGCCACTTTACCATAGGTGCCCTTCCATCTCTCTCCCGCTCTCCCCTACTGTTCTATCACAACAATTATTAAATATGAAAGAGATTGGGAATAGCATTATGTCAAAAGAGATGGAATCTCTGCTACCACAGGGATTGCTCCTCAATCATGTTCTTATAAACCAACATGAAGGATGAATGACGATTTTATTGATCAAGGAACAGATAATGACAAATGCTTCACCATACAGACCTTTGGACAAACGTCAAAATAAATAGTATAGACAACCTGACAAATCTACAGCATCAAATTAAACTTTCCTTAGTTGTCTTAGTGAATGGAACCAGCATGAACGTTAGCAGAGGCTTAAAAACAAACAAACGTGTGACCATTTGCTGTATTTATATGTATCCCTACCCATATTCATGTTTTATAGAAACTGTAGATTATGTGCTCTATAACACTACCATTATTTGATCCTCTGTAGCTCAGCTGGTAGAGCACGACGCTTGTAACGCCAAGGTAGTGGGTTCGATCGCCGGGACTGTAGAATAGTGTTACTGTAAAGTAACTTAATTTCCATTGAGAAAGAGACCGTATATTAGCAAGCAAACCTCTATAACAAGATTTCTTATAGTGTCAGGAAAATGTACTTCCACTGGATTATTGTTAAGTCTTGTGTTAGCGTGCATACAAATCATGAACGGAGTGTTAGTGCACACTCACTTAAAAAGGGAAACAGAAGTTACAGAACAGAGTAGACACAGAAAATATACAATATCTCCAGCATGTAGCTATGGTTTTCAAACAGGGACAAACCACAATACAATGGTCATTTCAGTGTGTCTACAGAGGAACATGTGCTGCTAATAAGACAGCCATGGTAAAAAAAAATCCTATCTGATAGAATGCTACTAATGTTACCAATAGCCACAGCTTTCATAGATTAGCTTAGTCAACAGATCAAAATGCTTAAAGTTGAAAACAACTAATACAATGTAAAAAAAAACAGCTGTAATAAAAATAAAAAGTACAACTGAGGACTTCAACATTTCCTTAAGTTACGGCTCTAGTTCTATTTCTTTGCTGAATGTCGCACTTGTCGCTATTGCATGTTCCTTGTTGCTATTGCATCCTTTTTTTGTTACAACAAATCATTTTGCAAAGAGACGATTCGTCCCGTTCCAAAACATGATCATTATAGTAATAAAAAAACACAGGTATACAGTGACCTCTAGCAGACCTTCACTATCAGTGCACCTCATCTGTTGGACTAGTCAGTGGAGCCACACTCTTGGGCCTGGTAAAATGTGTGTCCCTAGCCTCTTCCATTTGGCCCTATCCCTATGGTGTTCACAGATCTGAAAGGACTGGCTAGTTTAATAAAGAAATACTTCGTTATCCACTTTTTTCTGTTTTTGACAGGATTATATCAAATTCATGAAAACGTGGTAATTTAAGATATGTATGAAATTATATACGTATTTGTGCATTAATTTATTTCTACCCAATGCCTTTTATAGAAGTATTTGATTGTGTTTTCATGTGTTTTGTGCTTGAAGTCCATTTAGAAAAGAAAGTGAACACTGGCTTTGAAATGTCATCACACTTTCCCAGGGTATAACTGTGAACACCAAATGAGTAGTTGCTATGCGGGCTGAGAAAAGAGGCTGAGGGCCAAAATAGATCCTGGCCTTAATACCACAGTTCTGTTCCAGAAAGTGCAAAACAAAGATGGCTGACATCTAAGCCAGAAGGGCCAGCCCATGATGTCACTTTGTTCTCAACCAGACACCTGACTGATTGCACTTCAATCAGAGACAACTTAATGGTACTTTCATCCAAGTGCATGAAAACGCACTGCACCCAAACGGATGTAAAAAAAATAAATGGAAGCATCGCTATTCATTGGTGCTGTATATCTGAACAATTATCTTCCATAAGTATGACTCCTGAGGAGCAAAATACTTTACTAAGGCTACATTTTTTCATCTACACTTCATTACTATTCCCTCAGAGAGGAAGCATACAAAAACAGCTAATTCATTGGGACTTGGCTCCTCCAGAGATGCATATAATTTAGCTCACCTCAGCGTACTTCTGATTGGAGGACTTTAAGGGTAGAGAGTACAACTTGAGGCAAGACCAGTTTCTTCATGTCTCCCAGTGCCCCACCCCCCACCCACCCATCGGTCTAGTTTCTCTTTGAACACTTTTTGTCTCAAAATAACAGGCACCAGCTGATGACCATAGTCAACAAACACAAAGTGGGTCCTCACAATTGAAACCTTTTGTTTTGTTTTGTGTTCCCTGTGGGACGAAAGACAAGGCTTGACTACAAAAACGAAACAAATATTTTAATGCTGCACGCGCATGAAAGTCATTGTAAACCTATTTTTTTTCTACTTATAGACTAAATCTGTAGTTGACCCCTCTCCAAATTTCAACTGTAAGTAACTATAAACATTGCAAGAATCAGAAATAATAAAGAATCGGGGGGGGGGGGGGGGGGGGTGTTAATGTTTAAATCCTTAGCAACTTTGTTTGCCGTTCTCATGTATTGATCTACTGTTAGTGCACACATAAACACAGACAGAACCCATACAGATACCCTCTTACAGGAGTGCTGAAAACTCCAGGCTTAAAAGGTAGATCATCAAGTGCAAAAGCACCGCTTTTCCCTGGATCTACAACATAAGCTAAACTATTGAACTATTGTGCAAATGTTCAAGTTCTCCAAGGTGAACAGAACCCAGTTAGAGTACTGAACTATGCGCTGACAAGAAAATTAGCTTCCTATTTCATATGTTTAAGGTAGTAGAGGTGAAATAAAAAATTAAAACAAATAAAAAAAACTAAGTCAGTGGCTGTAAGAGTCAGCAAGCCACTGACCCTTTGGAAACTGAGAGGGACAGGATGGAGGGGAGCAGAGAGACCAGGTGACTTACATGGCATCACAGGCAGGAGGACTGTAGACATGTCATGACAACACAAGTCACACCAGAAACACCACAATCCAACTGAACTGAGGATGTTCAGTGGCAGAGTGAATATCTTATGACGAACAGAAGATATCAAAAGAAAAAGGGGCAAGCAAGTCATTTAGTTCATAAACTATGAGAAAGAAGACCTAATGCAGGGTGCTTTGCACGTTGACAAAAATGAACTAAGTTTAGTTTGGGTATGAGTCTGTAGACCCATAAAAGTTCATGGGACCTGTGCTTGGAGCAGGATTTCATTGGAGGCTTTGTGGCCTAATTTTCATGACCTCTACACCAGCCCTGAGCCACCCTGATTGGGATTTAGTAGTTAGACACACAAGTAAGGAAACATGGATGAAAAGAAACCAAAACCAGGCACAATTTTGACCCCCTCTTCCCAATAAGAGACACAAAAACGGTTGGCATACTTTGGGATATGTACAAAGTCTAGCCTTTTGTATATGGTTTCTTTCCTGGGACTCCATCTTTTTGGGTTTGATGAAAACCAGTGTTGGACTGGTGCTCCATAGAAGTTCCATAAAAGTGTAGGACTCCAGTAGATAAATAAATAAAACAAGGGGCGTCAACGCCCAGATTCATATAGCGTGGATAGGTGTTCAAATTTCACTGAGAGGGGACTTTGAAGAATCCGCACAGACAAGCTCCAAATTAGACTTAACAAAACCACTCACAATTACACCACGTGAGTGTGTGTGTATCAGGCATTTTCTGGTAATGCCAATGTGCAGAGGCACAACCGAAAAAAGGTGACAGAGTGGGGGAGCATGGGGGAGGAATGACTGCAGATGGTTTTAGAATCCAAAGTGAAGTTGGTGGTTTGTTGTTCTTGTCTGGCATTCATCCTCTCCAAAATCCCTCTCTCACCATCTGTCTCTCTTTCCCCTTCTCAACTAGTAGTGTTACTGGTGGACCTCGTTGGCTATGAGGCTGTCTTCACCTGACTGGAAATCAGCTTCATTGAGACTATTCCCAGCGTTGATCATCTCCTCATCCTGTGAGGACCCCCGATCTTCCTCCCCACTGCCTGTGTAAGCCTCATCCGTGATTGGGTCCTGTAAGACCTGGGCAATATACGTTGGTTGCTAAGGAAAAAAGAAACAAACATTCAATGTTATGAAGGATCCTGCACCTCATCATTCATATGCTTATAAATGGCATCTGAGAAGTTAAAAGGTGTTTAACATTGTACTGATCATTTCAACTTCCACTTGTTTTTGAAAGAATACTACTTAGCTTTGTATTGCTTCACCCTTCATCATAACCCAACACACACAATGGTTGAGTTCCTGCCCGACTACACTGCAGACCAATGCCAGCTCTTACAAAGCCCTGGATAGGTATTTAACATATCAGTTAACCACATCATATGATATAACAATCTGATGCCCGACTGCACAGTTGACCCAACCATTGGTTGATGCAATACAACGCCTGCGCATCTAGTCGGGCAGGAACTCTACCATTCTTTGCGGGAAAATGAAATATTTTATATTGTTTACATGTTCAACTGCCAAGAACGTGAACCAATAGTAAATCAGCAAGACACTGCTGTTTGTTTACATTGAAGATGATCAGAATGGCCAGTGAACAAGCAACTTCTAAATTTTTTTCCTTAAGGAATTTAATTCCTTTACTATTACAGATATTATAATTGATATTAAGGCCTATTTAAAAGTGCTGCTGACTCCAAACAACCACTGGGACAGGGAATACCCAGGGAGCAAATTGTCAAAAGTTTATAAAAATGATGGATTGGATTTATATAGCGCCTTTCAACCAACTTCGGTACTCAAAGCGCTTTAGATAATAAGGGGGAAACTCACCTCATCCACCACCAATGTGTGGCACCCACCTGGGTAATGCACGGAAACCATTTTGTGCCAGAACGCTCACCACACATCAGCTAACATGGTGCAGAGGTGAGGAGTGATATATGCTAATTAAGGGGATGATTAGGTGGCCATGATATTCCATTTAGCAGACGCTTTTATCCAAAGCGACTTAGTCATGTGTACATACATTTTACATATGGGTGCTCTTGAGAAACGAACCCACTATCCTGGCGTTGCAAACGCCATGCTCTACCAACTGAGCCACAGAGGACCACATGAACATGGTGCATTTCTATGTTTTGTATTAAAAAAGATAGAGGAATAAGTATTTCCGATGACATGATCCAAAAAAACACTTGACATTGGCAGTGTTCAGGAGTATTAAAACCGTGATGCATCATGGGTAATTCATCATTGTGACTGACTGATCTGCAAATAATATTGAGTAGTTATTTATGATGCAAGGTCATTTGTAGATCAGTCAGTCTCAACTTGCTTTTAAAGTGGGCTACAATGTCGAAGTACTGTATAGCTTAAAAAAATATTAAAGCTCTCATTTGGGCCAAAGTCAGATTGTTTGTCAAAGGAGCAAACAAACACACATTGTTGGCCCACTGGACAAAATGACGCATATTGTGCATTGCGATAACATTGGGCCAATGTCAGTGTGCTATCTGGATAGTTCCATTCTAGTCCCCCCACAATTCAACAGCTTGGAATACTCCAAAACCAAAAAGAATTGGCGTCTCTGCTTACCTGAGACTTATTAGAAGGAGAGGAGAAGGTGCGGAGTGGTGGGCGGCCATTTTCAACCACGTCAACATCAGTTTCCTTGGTGTCAATCTGTTTGAGACCAGAGGGGGGAAGAAAGGGGGTAAAGAAGGGAAAAGAGCTATCAGAGATTCTCCTCTATGGTCCTACTTGGCCTAAGTCTGCTACCTGAATTGAAGGACTGGACATTTGGCGTGTTGGTGAGCCGTACCTTGAGCACAGTGACCCGTACCTTGTAGTTGTGAGCGCTGAGGTACTTGAAGTGGCCGAAGCAGACGTGCGACAGGCATACCACAATGGTGATGATTAGGACCACCAAAGTGAACATGGACGTGGGGGTCACAAAGCCTGGATTACAACACAGTGCAAAGAGACGGTAAGTTACAAGGTTTGACTTCAGGGCTCAGCCTCTGAATATGGTGGTAAGTGTTATGTACTAACACATCTTAACAATCCAATTAACCACTTTGTGTCTGGGAAGAAAAACATCCCCCAGTCCCTTACCTGTGCGCATGGTGGAAAAGAATAGCAGCCAAAAGAGACAGAGGATGGGAGCTGCCACCACCTGATTGACAGCACCCGAGTGGATTTTCTTGTCCAGTTTCGAGGGAAGGTAAGCGTAATACATGTTGTATCTATCCACCAGGTGCTTCAACAGCATGTACATCAGACCTGGAAAGAGGGAGACAAATTTTTTTGTTTGACAACTATTGTTTAACCGATATAACTACTGAACATATACCTCCCCCCACCCGTTTTAAGTCTTTGCTGGAGACAACTGACATTCTGATAGTCTTCTTTGCTTGGTCTTTGGGGGGTTAGACCTGGGTTGAAATCCCTGAGTTGAGGGGGTTACAACTGCAGTATGTCTATTAATAACATGTGGCTGTCTTTTTTAAGTCTGTTTATAGCACAGTACATGATGTCAACTCACTTTTGAAAGTGTTTGCATGTGACCTCTATCTTCAATAATTCTCTCTAGATTAAAGTATTTACTAAATTAACAACTGTGTGCTCACTGTTGCCCATTAAGCAAATGTTCCTTACTAAAGTAGACAAGTGTAAACTACCCATACTGAAAACGAATGTATTATAATAAACAGTACAATTCAAAACATATTTGCATATTCAGTATGTCCAGAAAATATTGATTTAATATACAGTTGAAGTCGGAAGTTTACATACACTTAGGTTGGAGTCATTAAAACTCGTTTTTCAACCACTCCACACATTTCTTGTTAACAAACTATAGTTTTGGCAAGTCGGTTAGGACATCTACTTTGTGCATGACAAGTAATTTTTCCAACAATTGTTTACAGACAGATTATTTCACTTATAATTCACTGTATCACAATTCCAGTGGGTCAGAAGTTTACATACACTAAGTTGACTGTGCCTTTAAACAGCTTGGAAAATTCCAGAAAATGATGTCATGGCTTTAGAAGCTTCTGATAGTCTAATTGACATCATTTGAGTTAATTGGAGGTGTACCTGTGGATGTATTTCAAGGCCTACCTTCAAACTCAGTGCCTCTTTGCTTGACATCATGGGAAAATCAAAAGAAATCAGCCAAGATCTCAGAAAAAAGATGGTAGACCTCCACAAGTCTGGTTCATCTTTGGGAGCAATTTCCAAATGCCTGAAGGTACCACGTTCATCTGTACAAACAATAGTACGCAAGTATAAACACCATGGGACCACGCAGCCGTCATACCGCTCAGGAAGTCTCCTAGAGATGAACGTACTTTGGTGCGAAAAGTGCAAATCAATCCCAGAACAACAGCAAAGGACCTTGTGAAGATGCTGGAGGAAACAGGTACAAAAGTATCTATATCCACAGTAAAACGAGTCCTATATCGACATAACCTGAAAGGCCGCTCAGCAAGGAAGAAGCCACTGCTCAAAAACCACCATAAAAAAGACAGACTACGGTTTGCAACTGCACATGGGGACAAAGATCATACTTTTTGGAGAAATGTCCTCTGGTCTGATAAAACAAAAATATAACTGTTTGGCCTTAATGACCATCGTTATGTTTGGAGGAAAAAGAGGGATGCTTGCAAGCTGAAGAACACCATTCCAACCATGATGCAAGGGGGTGGCAGCATCATGCTGTGGGGGTTCTTTGCTGCAGGAGGGACTGGTGCACTTCACAAAATAGATGGCATCATGAGGAAGGAAAATTATGTGGATATATATTGAAGCAACATCTCAAGACATCAGTCAGGAAATTAAAGCTTGGTCGCAAATGGTTCTTCCAAATTGACAATGACCCCAAGCATACTTCCAAAGTTGTGGCAAAATGGCTTAAGGACAACAAAGTCATGGTATTGGAGTGGCCATCACAAATCCCTGACCTCAATCCTATAGAACATTTGTAGGCTGAACTGAAAAAGCATGTGCGAGCAAGGAGGCCTACAAACCTGACTCAGTTACACCAGCTCTGTCAGGAGGAATGGGCCAAGATTCACCCAACTTATTGTGGGAAGCTTGTGGAAGGCTACCCGAAACGTTTGACTCAAGTTAAACAATTTAAAAGGCAATGCTACCAAATACTAATTGAGTGTATGTAAACTTCTGACCCACTGGGAATGTGATGAATTAAATAAAAACTGAAATAAATCATTCTCTCAACTATTATTCTGACATTTCACATTCTTAAAATAAAGTGGTGATCATAACTGACCTAACACAGGACATTTTTACTAGGATTAAATGTCAGGAATTGTGAAAAACTGAGTTTAAATGTATTTGGCTAAGGTGTATGTAAACTTTCGACTTCAACTGTATAACTTGCACACATTATAGAATGTGTATGTTTTAAAATATACAGTACCAGTCAAAAGTTTGGACACACCTACTCATTCCAGGGTATTTCTTTATTTTTACTATTTTTTACATTGTAGATTAATAGTGACGACATCAAAACTATGAAATACCACATATGGAATCATGTAGAAACCAAAAAATGTTAAACAAATCAAAATATATTTTATATTTGAGATTCTTCAAAGTAACCACCCTTTGCTCACTATTGGGGGGGGGGGGGGGGGGGGGGGGGGGTATACAGAAGATAGCCCTATTTGGTAAAAGACCAAGTCCATATTATGGCAAGAATAATCAAAGAGAAAAGACAGTCCATCATTACTTTAAGACATGAAGGTCAGGTCAGTCAATACGGAAAATGTGAATAACTTTTAAAGTTTCTTCAAGTGCAGTCGCAAAAACCATCAAGCGCTATGATGAAAATGGCTCTCATGAGGACCGCCACAGGAAAGGAAGACCCAGAGTTACCTCTGCTACAGAGGATAAGTTTGTTGGAGTTACCAGCCTCAGAAATTGTAGCCCAAATAAATGCTTCAGAGTTCAAGTAACAGACACATCTCAACATCAACTGTTCAGAGGAGACAGCGTGAGTCAAGCCTTCATGGTCGAATTGCTGCAAAGAAACCACTACTAAAGGACACCAATAATAATAAGAGACTTGCTTGGGCAAAGAAACACAAGCAATGGACATTAGACCGGTGGAAATCTGTATTTTGGTCTGGAGTCCAAATTGGAGAATTTTGGTTCCAACCCCTGTGTCTTTGTGAGATGCAGTGTAGGTGAACGGATGATCTCTGCATGTGTAGTTCCCACCGTGAAGCATGGAGGAGGAGGTGTCATGGTGCATTGCTGGTGACACTGTGTGATTTATATAGAATTCAAGGCACACTTAACCAGCATGGCTACCATAGCATTCTGCAGCGATACGCCATCTCATCTGGTTTGGGTTGAGTGGGACAATAATTTGTTTTTCAACAGGACAATGACCCAACACACCTCCAGGCTGTGTAAGGGCTATTTGACCAAGAAGGAGAGTGATGAGTGCTGCATCAGATGACCTGGCCTCCACAATCCCCCGACCTCAACCAATTGAGATGGTTTGGAATGAGTTGGACTGTTGAAAAAGCATTCCAGGTGAAGCTGGTTGAGAGAATGCCAAGAGTGTGCAAAGCTGTCATCAAGGCAAAGGGTGGCTACTTTGAAGAAACTAAAATATATACTTTTTTGGTTACTACATGATTCCATATGTGTTATTTCATAGTTTTGATGTCTTCACTATTATTCTACAATGTAGAAAATAGTAAAAATAAAGAGTAACACTTGAATGAGTAGGTGTGTCCAAACTTTTGACTGGTACTGTATGTCAAATATATTTTTGTGCCACTAAAGGTATGTAGAGAGCTGCTCGTCGAACATCTCATTAAAAAATCACGGGCATTAATATGAAGTTGGTCCCCCCTTTGCTGCTATATCAGCCTCCACTCTTCTTGGAAGGCTTTCCACTAGATGTTGGAACATTGCTGAGGGGACTTGCTTCCATTCAGCCACAAGAGCATTAGTGAGGTCGGGCACTGATGTTGGGTGATTAGGCCTGGCTCTCAGTCGGCTTTCCAATTCATCCCAAAGGTGTTTGATGGGGTTGAGGTCAGGGCTCTGTGCAAGCCAGTCAAGTTCTTCCACACCGATCTCGACAAACCATTTCTGTATGGACCTCGCTTTGTGCACTGGGGCATTGTCATGCTGAAACAGGAAAGGGCCTTCCCCAAACTGTTGCCACAAAGTTGGAAGCACAGAATCGTCTAGAATGTAATTGTATGCTGTAGCGTTCAGATTCCCCTTCACTGGAACTAAGGGGCCTAGCCTGAACAATGAAAAACAGCGTTTCCACAGCTCCAGAGTCCAATGGCGGCGAGCTTTACACCACTCTAGCTGACGCTTGGCATTGCGCATGGTGATCTTAGGCTTGTGTGTGGCTGCTCAGCCATGGAAACCCATTTCATGAAGCTCCTGACGAACAGTTATTGTGCTGACTTTGCTTCCAGAGGCAGTTTGGATCTCGGTAGTGAGTGTTCCAATCGAGGACAGACTGTTTTTACACGCTACACTCTTCAGCACTTGGCGGTCCCGTTCTGTGAGCTTGTGTGGCATACCACTTCGCGGCTGAGCCGTTGTTGCTCCTAGACGTTTCCACTTCACAATAACAGACAGCGTTTACAGTTGACCGGGGGCAGCTCTAGCAGGGCAGAAATTTGACGAACTGACTTGTTGGAAAGGTGACATCCTATGACGGTGCCACGTTGAAAGTCACTTAGCTCTTCAGTAAGGCCATTCTACTGCCAATGTCTGTCTATGGAGATTGCATGGCTGTGTGCTTGATTTTATACACCTGTCAGCAACAGGTGTGGCTGAAATAGACTAATCCACTATTTTGAAGTGGTGTCCACATACTTTTGTATATATAGTGTATGTAAATATATGTCAATTAAATGTATTTTTGTGCGACATGTATCATGGGGAATTGTAATGCTGAGTTTATTGACCTCTGGTACCTTGGCATTAGGGTCCCAAAGTGGGGTTTACATGCAAAAGTTGAAAATAAATAATGCCGCTATTGAGGCTACTTGTCACTTATGAAACATAGTAAGATTAGCTATGTTAATTTCGAAACGAGACATGAACCTAGAACATATTCATCCCGAGCTGTCAATCACAATTTGAAACATTCCCGAGCCCTGCCCCCAGCCCTGCCTGCAACTGACAGCGCAGCCATTGCAATTGTATTTATTTTTTCAGATGAAGGAGAAGAGCAGCTGTCAGCACCAACAATCTTTCACATGGATAATGACATTTTATTTGATTATATAATCATACATTGATTTAAAATATACGTTTTTCACCTGGCGGGTGACAAAGGAAAAATATATTTTCTTCAACTGCATGCAAGAACTTTCACTGAGCTAGCAAACACAGCTAGTTAGCTCCTTTAGCTTGTCACTACAACATGCAGTGTGGCTGGCCAAGTTAAGAATTATTTTGGATATTAAAGAGTTAATATGTCATGTATGTGTTATAATTTAATTGCCAAAGCTAGTTAGTTAATGTGAAATGTTGCTTGCCAAGCAATGTGTTGCTTGCTAGCTAGCTTTGTAGTGAGGGCTGGGTTTCTCTGACAGCAATATAGCAAAAAATGGCTAGCTTGCTAGATTATTTCTAGCTCAAAATAAACATATTTTTCCCTGCAGTGGAGCCTTCTGGTCTGGAGCCTCAACTGCCTATGGACAGACCCCAGCCAATATAAGTTAGGCTTCTGTATCATTTAGCTAGCTAGTTCCTGAACTTGTGCGGAATTGTTTCACTGATTGTCTTTGCATTATCCACAGGGTAACTATCAACTTGTGAGTCTGAAAATGGACACAAAATCCTAGAGGAAAACCTGGTTGAGTCTGCTTTCCACCAGACAGTAGCCTAAAACACAAGGCCAAATGTACACTGGAGTTATTTACCTAAGCGGCCGAGTTACAGTTTTGACTTAAATCTACTTGAAAATATGTCAAAAACTGAAAATGTTTGTCTAACAATGATCAACAACTAATTTGACAGAGCTTGATGAATTTAGAAAATAATAATGGGCAAATGTAGCACAATCCAGGTGTGGAAAGCTCTTAGAGACTTACCCAGAAAGACTCACAGCTGTAATCGCTGCCAAATGTGCTTCTACAAAGTATTGACTCAGTGGTGTGAATACTTACGTAAATTAGATATTTATGTATTTCATTTCCAATACATTTGATACATTTTTTGAAAACATGTATTTACTTTGTCATTATAGGGTATTATGTGTAGATGGATTCAAAAAAACAGATGTTTAATCCATTTTGAATTCAGGCTGTAACAACAAAATGTGGAATAAGTCAAGGGGTATGAATACTTTCTGAAGGCACTGTATGTCTTAGTAAAGATACATTGCATATTGTACCTATACAGTGCTTTTACAAAGAGATGCACAGTAGTGATATATTAATACTGTATGTACACACCAGGAGTGGGTAAGCCTGTTCTTGCCGTAATGCAGTGTTTAGTTTTCCCTAATTTACTTGGTGATTCATTCTGACTCATACAAAGAACTGCCAGTAGGTAGTCCTCTCTCTCCCCAGTCTCTCTTCCCGTACTCAGTCTCTCACTTTCTCCTCCTTCTCTCCCTCTTACCCCTTTTCCTCTCTGGGGAGAGGTGGGCTGACTCACCGAAGGGGACGATGATTGGACAGGTGATGCTGTACGTCATTACTACAGTGAAGACGCACATCATCCAGGCGTAGGCCGCTCCGAACTGGAATTCAAATGCTTGATGCTGTAGACACAGAAACATTCAGCATTGAAAAGTCAATTGAACTTTGAGCACAGCAGCAGCAATATATTCCTTAAGGACTCTTACCCTCTTTACGTTACGCCTCTCTGCAGAGGAACGGGCCAGGGACAGTCTGATCATATACATGAGCAAGCCTGGAATCCGCAGCAGGTCCATGGCGTTACCGATAAATGCTGAGGCGATGACATAGTTGACAAAGAAGGCTCCGTTGTCAGGGAGGAAGACACACCTTAAACGGGGGGAGGCACCACCAGTGCGATTAGATAGCATTTACCATAGTACTGGTATTTACTAGTAATGGCCTGACAAATCACACAGTAATTATGCTTTGGTTTCATTGAGACAAACACTTATGTGCCTTAATGTACCAGGTGGTTAGCAATTGTGTTGAAAGTACAGTGCCAGGACGTACTAGATATTTCCCCCATAATACCAGGCAAATAACCAGCTGTAACAGGACTGGATCTTAATTACATTCCTCTTTTATAAAAATATAAATACTTACTCAAATCTGACAGTGGCGTCAGCAAGGAATTTCTTATCAAACAACCAGCGGAAGAAGACATCCAAACTGTATTAAAAGCAACCAAAAAAATGAAATCAAATTAGCTTTTCTGGGGTCATAATTTGGTCGAAATCTGTAGGAAGACATTGGTTGATTATTCATGTCCCATTTATTCGATAAAGTAATTTGGCAAAAACAGACCAAGACCGATCTCTACAAGGCATTTGGGCCAAGGTGGACTTGCACAGCCAGGCAATGTAACTTCCTACCTAGGGCCAAGGAAAACTCCTGTATTTCACCTGCTGATTTCTATGGCTAAACCTCTTCTCTTTCCAGGTGCCAGCTATAAGATTTGCCTCTACATTTACCATTTCATGTACAGGTATATTTCAAAGTCTTCTATAATGGCATAAGAAATATAGCAACAGCTTAGGTTTTGGGGTTATTAATGAGATTCTATGGGACTTTTGTATACTTTTTAGCCAGTAGTTCTGAAAGTAGCGCTCACGAGCCAAAAGTGGCCCCCAAAAATGGTGTACTACGTCACATATGTGCAGATATGTGCACCATGTCATTGCGCTCTCTTTTGCTCTGCTATGTGTGCATCTTGCTAGCTGTCACTCAAATGGAGAGGGGCTGAAGCTCATTGGCAAAACTCAAATTGCTAGGGGGCTGGCCGACATGGGGGAAAATCTAGGGAAAATGGCGCAGCACAGCTTCCAGAAAAACAGTCGCTTTCAAACTAGGGATTTCGTGGCTAATTGAGGGAAGCCAGTAATTCTGCTCATAGATTATGCATGAACTACACATTGACACATCCAGCCCAAAGTATGTAGGTTTAAAAAATACTTAGTAGATGCCAAAGTTCCAGAGCATGTCTAAGGGGTTTCATAAGGGATATAATAAAAAAATGGAAGGGGTATATTCCCTTAGTTGAAATAACCAATGTTTTGTGCCTTTAAAACATAGATAGTACATAATTTAACAGGTACCTGCTAAGACCCAGTGAAGGCAGCAAGAGGACCATGAAGATGAGGAAGGTGTAGCACTTGTGCATGGTGGTCCGGTTCTCACCCGACCTGCCCATGAAAAAACATAGAGAAAAGGACTGAAGGAGCATTACATCACTTACATGATGATAATGGTTTATTTCATTTAGTTTCATGTGTACTATGGCAGTTAAAAGCTGAATTACAGTAACACATACAAGAAACACATTTAAATTAATAAAATGAGATACAACAAATTGAACAAAATCAAAACATCTGGGAGTTGAGGCATGAAGGGAGGTAGAACGGTCTGAGCGGTGGAGGGAGGAGGGAGCATCTTGGTCACAGTCAGGGAGCTCGGTGGTCATATCAGAGTCAGAGACAGGTCCGCAGCCATCAGCACACCTCGCTGTCCCCGACGTCCTCAGCCTCTCCTTATGGACTCTGTAGGTAGCTGGCTAGCTACTCCTCTTCACTACTAATTTGTAGTATCCACTTTGGTGATGCACCGGCAGCCGCTGGTGCCAGAAAGCCATTGGTAATCATCAGAGTAGTTGTCCTCATCTCTACAATTATACTAATTGAAGTGTGTGTGATCATTAGAAAACCCAAAATCAAGAACAAATTGAGTGGAAATTATATAGGTCAACTGAAAGAAACCCCTCCCATATATTTAGGTTATTCCCCATTGTCAACATCACATCTGCACAAAGAGCTGTTGGAATTAAAGATCTCTCAGAACATAACCTTAATGGCCACATGTACTCTTAAAGGTCCAATGCAGACGTTTTTATCTCAATATCAAATAATTTCTGGGTAACAATTAAGTACCTTACTGTGATTGTTTTAAATGAAAATGGTCAAAAAGAAACAAATAGCTTATCCGCGGTAACAAACTTGTTGAGCAATTATTACAAGATGAGGGGAAAGCAGAACAATCTGATGAGTAGAGTATTTTGCTAAACTATTTTGAACTGGAATAAATACTGCACTATTAACAATTACCGACACAATTCCAGTCAAAATAGATTGTAAGAAATACTGTAGCCTACCATTACTATAACCAACCCAACTGTTTGATGGCACATCCCAGTGGTTTTCAAACTTTTTGACCCGCGACCCCCAAAAAGGAGTGGTACAAAACTTGCAACCCCCCGCGCACGCACATGCATGTGTGCACACGTAAACATTCGTCCACAATCGCTGCGCAAGTGTAGCCGGTCATTACAGCCATAAACGGTGATGCATAAACTGCTCTTTACACATGCATGTGGATCTGAAGGTAATTCATTTTAGTAGCCAATATCAACTAGGGCTATATCATGTCACTACTCTGAAGTCTACGCAGTGGCCTTGTGGTTAGAGTGTCCGCCCTGAGATTGGAAGGTTGTGTCATACCAAAGACTGTAATAACGGGATATGATGCGTCTGCTTGGCAGTTTAAAGGAGATAATGTAGATTCGAGGTAAGGCCCTGTGATAGACTAGCGTCCTGTCCAGGGGGTGTACTTGTACATCAAGCTGCCTCACGCTACAGAAACAGGAGATCGGCTCCTGCCCTATGAGCCGTTACGGCTCTCAAGCTCGTGGAAGGCTACTTACTTACTCTGGAGTCCAGACAGAGCAAGCTAAATTATACGGCTTACTTGTAGCGGAGGCTGCAGGATCAGATGGAAAGCCTGCCACCGAAAAAGGCACTTTGGAGACTGGAAGGGCAAAGGGGCATGTGCTCTACACAGGTAGAGCCCTATGTGCACGTGCCTGCATGGAACAATCATTTTCTCTTATTCAACGTTGACTCCAAAGCTTGGGGTGCAGGCCACGTAGCCTATTTCTATGCTCACCGAGGCGTGTGCTCCTATTACACACAACAAAAATGACAGAAACATAGTCTGACATAACCCGGGAAATATGAACAAAGGAAATCATACATCGAATTAAATAAACAGCACTTCTACCTCATGAGTCTTGCAAACATTCATGTGCACAATAAACATTGCGCGAGCCCACTCAAAGGGTAAGAAATGGTAAATGAAAATGTATCGTATCAAACATGAAACAGAAATGTCTACGTGCTGCAATAAATGTTACGGGATTGGAATGATGAAACGCTAGCAATTATTGTAGGATTACATGGAATATATATTTTCCACATATGCATTTAAACGTTTGAAAGCAAAAGCAAACATTTCAACAAGAGCACAAAGCACTCTCTATTGGCAGGAGTTTGGAGAGCACAAGTGGAGATATGCGCCTATGGTGCACCTTCACCACTGTAGCCTAATAATTCATTTAAAAAACAAATTCCAAATGCAAGCTTCATAAGTAAATTATACATTTCAATCAATTTTGACAAACCAAAAGACCAGTAGGCCTGTGCTAGTAATTGTTGCAGATTGCTAGCTCACCCAACCTGTGTTGATTGAGTGTTTTCTGGTCCAATCAGAGGGCAGTGTGTGTGTTTTACTAGTCAATCTCTTGCAAAAAAAAATAGCAAGGGAGATGCTGAGGCTACTGTCTCAGTGTGGCGAGTACTCCACACAGACTCTGTGCCACAAAATGAGTGATAAAACATTACAAAACCTGGCCAGATAATTTCAAGTCATCTCTCAAGTCAAAGTCGAGTCCCGTCTTGAGGCTCCAACTCAAGTCTCAAGATATTTTACTTTCTATCAAGTCGAGTCTCAAGTCATCACATTTTTGACTAGAATCAGACTCGATTCCATGTCATGTGACTCGAGTCCACAACTCTGCTGCCTGGTGATGTCACCAGGCAGGTCAAAACTCCATCCCACCAAAACAGGCAGAAATTTCAGGAGGTCTTTTTAAAACAGCTCTTACACTAAAAGGGCATTATCATCATTTTCACAATTTCACAGTATTATTCCAACCTCGTAGTGTGGAAATATAAATAAAACACAGGAAAATCACGTTATTGAGTGCACTGGGCCTTTAAATTTCTACCCGGTACAGCCAGAAGAGGACTGGCCACCCCTCAGAACCTGGTTCCTCTAGGTTTTTTCCTCGGTTCCTGCCTTCTAGGGAGTTTTTCCTAGCCACTGTGCTTCTGCCTCTGCATTGCTTGCTCTTTGGGGTTTTAAGCTGAGTATATGTAAAGCACTTTGCTGATGTAAAAGGGCTTTATAAAATACATCTGATTGATTGATAATTCTCATAACTCAGGGAAGAGCAACCCCAGTCTCCGCTGTTCGTGCTGATTTCTGTTCTTTAAACCAAATCAGCAACTCATTTGGTCCTGGAAAATCCCTAGGACCAGTATGGCCTAACCCTCGGTGCAACTTGCAAAGCATATAGCTAACGATAGGAAAGTGAACAGTACCTCGTCCAGTGTTTCTCGAAGAAAGCAGAGTAGTAGACGATGGTGGGCAGCAGGGCAGAGAAAGCCCACAGGAGCAAAGTGGGGAAGAACTGGGTGACGATGGGGTTCTGGAGAAAAAGGACAGGAGGGAACAGAAGACAGACACTTCCTCAATAGTCAACAAAGCCTTGCTCCTCAAAGGCCCTCAGATTCAGCACTGTACCAAAAAGCTTTAGATTCTGTCCAACTGCAATTTATAACACCATGCTAAGAACAATGACTCCTTTCTCACTGAGCAAAGTACTAAGGCAGGGCAGGGTATGACTATTAAATTATGTCAGAAGCATTGCTGGTTTTGATTCTTACCCTCTAATCAAGGACTGAATCAGACCTGGGAAAGCAGGGTTCTGTTCATTAAGGGAAGGACATGAAATGGAAAGGGACTACCTGGAATTCACCAATAACAATGGTAATTTTTCATTTTCCGTTGCAAAACCTTTTAAAACGTTCTTTTGTGGTCTACCCTAACAGTGTTTTTCAAACCTCTCCTCGGGAATCCCCAGACGTTTCACAATCTTGTTGTAGCCCTGAACTAGCTCTCAACTAAATTACCTAGTCAAAGGCTTGATGATTAGTTGGCAAGTTGAATCAGGTTGGCTAGCTCTGGAATATATCAAATACAGTGAGGGAAAAAAGTATTTGATCCCCTGCTGATTTTGTACGTTTGCCCACTGACAAAGAAATGATCAGTCTATGATTTTAATGGTAGGTTTATTTGAACAGTGAGAGACAGAATAAAAATAAAAATAAAATAAACGCATGTCAAAAATGCTATAAATTTATTTGCATTTTTATGAGGGAAATAAGTATTTGACCACTCTGCAAAACATGACTTAGTACTTGGTGGCAAAACCCTTGTTGGCAATCACAGTGGTCAGATGTTTCTCGACTGCCTCGCCTGGTTCACCAACTACTTCTCAGATAGAGTTCAGTGTGTCAAATCGGAGGGCCTGTTGTCTGGACCTATGGCAGTCTCTATGGGGGTGCCACAGGGTTCAATTCTTGGGCCGACACTTTTCTCTGTGTATATCAATGATGTCGCTCTTGCTGCTGGTGACTCTCAGATCCACCTCTACGCAGACGACACCATTTTGTATACATCTGGCCCTTCATTGGACACTGTGTTAACAAACCTCCAAACGAGCTTCAATGCCATACAACAATCCTTCAGTAGCCTCCAACTGCTCTTAAACACTAGTAAAACTAAATGCATGATTTTCAATCGAACGCTGCTGGCACCCGCCCACCCGACTAGAATCACCACTCTCGACGGGTCTGACCTAGAGTATGTGGACAACTACAAATACCTAGGTGTCTGGTTAGACTGTAAACTCAACTTCCAGACTCACATAAAGAATCTCCAATCCAAAGTTAAATCTAGAATCGGCTTCCTATTTCGCAACAAAGCCTCCTTCACTCATGCTGCCAAACATGCCCTCGTAAAACTGACTATCCTACCGATCCTTGACTTCGGCGATGTCATTTACAAAATAGCCTCCAACACTCTACTCAGCAAATTGGATGTAGTCTATCACAGTGCCATCCGTTTTGTCTCCAAAGCCCCATACACTACCCACCACTGTGACCTGTACGCTCTTGTTGGCTGGTCCTCACTACATGTTCGTCGTCAAACCCACTGGCTCCAGGCCATCTATAAATCACTGCTAGGCAAATCCCCGCCTTATCTTAGCTCATTGGTCACCATAGCAGCACCCACCCGTAGTCTGCGCTCCAGCAGGTATATCTCACTGGTCATTCCCAAAGCCAACACCTCCTTTGGCCGCCATTCCTTCCAGTTCTCTGCTGCCAAAGACTGGAACGAATTGCAAAAATCTCTGAAGCTGGAGACTCTTATCTCCCTCAATAACTTTAAGCATCAGTTGTCAGAGCACCTTACCGATCACTGCACCTGTACACAGCCCATCTGAAATTAGCCCACCCAACTACCTCATCCCTATATTGTTATTTATTTTGCTCTTTTGCACCCCAGTATCTCTATTTGCACATAATCTCTTGCACATCTAGCATTCCAGTGTTAATACTATTGTAATTATTCTGCACTATAGCCTATTTATTGCCTTACCTCCATAACTTGCTACATTTGCACACACTGTATATATATTTTCTGTTGTATTTCTGACTTTATGTTTTTTACCCCATATGTAACTCTGTGTTGTTTTTTATTGCACTACTTTGCTTTATCTTGGCCAGGTCGCAGTTGTAAATGAGAACCTGTTCTCAACTGGCTTACCTGGTTAAATAAAGGTGAAATAAAAAATAAAAAATAAAAGTAGTTGGCCACCAGGTTTGCACACATCTCAGGAGGGATTTTGTCCCACTCCTCTTTGCAGATCTTCTCCAAGTCATTAAGGTTTCGAGCCTGACGTTTGGCAACTTGAACCTTCAGCTCCCTCCACAGATTTTCTATGGGATTAAGGTCTGGAGACTGACTAGGCCACTCCAGGACCTTAATGTGCTTCTTCTTGAGCCACTCCTTTGTTGCCTTGGCCGTGTGTTTTGGGTCATTGTCATGCTGGAATACCCATCCACGACCCATTTTCAATGCCCTGGCTGAGGGAAGGAGGTTCTCACCCAAGATTTGAAGGTACATGGCCCCGTCCATCGTCCCTTTGATGCGGTGAAATTGTCCTGTCCCCTTAGCAGAAAAACACCCCCAAAGCATAATGTTTCCACCTTCATGTTTGACGGTGAGGATGGTGTTCTTGGGGTCAAAAGCAGCATTCCTCCTCCTCCAAACACGGCGAGTTGAGTTGATGCCAAAGAGCTCCATTTTGGTCTCATCTGACCACAACACTTTCACCCAGTTCTCCTCTGAATCATTCAGATGTTCATTGGCAAACTTCAGACGGGCATGTATATGTGCTTTCTTGAGCAGGGGGACCTTGCGGGCGCTGCAGGATTTCAGTCCTTCACGGCGTAGTGTGTTACCAATTGTTTTCTTGGTGACTATGGTCCCAGCTGCCTTGAGATCATTGACACGATCCTTCCGTGTAGTTCTGGGCTGATTCCTCACCGTTCTCATGATCATTGCAACTCCACGAGGTGAGATCTTGCATGGAGCCCCAGGCCGAGGGAGATTGACAGTTATTTTGTGTTTCTTCCATTTGCGAATAATCGCACCAACTGTTGTCACCTTATCACCAAGCTGATTGGCGATGGTCTTGTAGCCCATTCCAGCCTTGTGTAGGTCTACAATCTTGTCCCTGACATCCTTGGAGAGCTCTTTGGTCTTGGCCATGGTGGAGAGTTTGGAATCTGATTGATTGATTGCTTCTGTGGACAGGTGTACTCCCTTTAAGAGTGTGCTCCTAATCTCAGCTCGTTACCTGTATAAAATACACCTGGGAGACAGAAATCTTTCTGATTGAGAGGGGGTCAAATATAAATTGATTTGCATTTTAATGAGGGAAATAAGTATTTGACCCCCTCTCAATCAGAAATCTTTCTGATTGAGAGGGTCAAATACTTATTTCCCTCATTAAAATGCAAATCAATTTATAACATTTTTGACATGCGTTTTTCTGGATTTTGTTGTTGTTATTCTGTCTCTCACTGTTCAAATAAACCTACCATTACAATTATAGACTGATCATTTCTTTGTCAGTGGGCAAACGTACAAAATCAGCAGGGGATCAAATACTTTTTTCCCTCACTGTACATGGAACGGCTGCGGGTCCCCAAGGAGAGGTTTAAGAACCACTGCCCTAATAAACACAACCCAGATGAACTCTGGTCAATCAATGACATTCAATTAATGAACAGGTAGAAAAGAAAGCCAGCAGTGATATGGCTCTCTAGACTAGAATAAATAACCCTGTACAAGGGCTTACTAGCAATTTCACAGTGGATAATTTTATTTCATTATGTCAATGTAGAATCAATTTGAGACGTTTCAGTTGACAAAGCCTTTTTTTAAATACATATTTTAAAGGTATTTTCAGATTTGTATTTAACAGATAGTGGGAATGACAGAGGGGAAAGATAGAGAAAGGTTGTATCAAAGGGCAGTAGGCCGGATTCGAACCCATGCGATACTGAGGACCTATGTGGCAGAGGCTGCTAGACCAACCAGGCCACGACAAAACCTTTGATATGTAGTGAAATACATTGGGGGATATCGAAGATTTCCTTACATTGAGATACTCGACAGGCTTGGTGACGTTAAACTTGTCCATCGTGGAGATAATGATGGCGGGTGTAGTGAGAAAGAAGAGCAGGAGGAAAAGGATGCAGTTGATGATGAAGCAGCGAATCCACCAGGAAATACCCCCCAACGATAAGTGCTCCCTGTCAGACAGAAGTTGACATACACAGAGATCATTTGTAAACCATCCAGCATTTAAACAAGTCATCCCAACATGCACATTAAAGTGTTACCTTCATATCAGACTTAATACAATACCTTCTGCTAAGGTAATATAAATAAGAAAAATAGAACACACTAGTGTTGGTGTTCATCACTTAAAAGATGTCAAAATCCAAAGATTTGTTGATATCAAATCTATTGACCAAAATTCAGTGAACGAGATAACACCACACCCGTGTACACACGCACATACTACTATTCTGTTTTACGGTCCCTGACCAATTGTGCTATTATTTTTGCTGATCTTCACTTTTTTTTAAACATAATGTTAACGCCATGGTTTCCTATGACTGAAAAGAGCTTCTGGATATCAGAACAACAATCCTTGATTTGGAGGAGGATTTCTACTTCAATGAGTTGGTGGCGAAGGACATACTGCTCATCCCGGACCAGGCCCAAACCCCCGACATTCGAAAAACGATAGAGGCGGTGTTATAGAGGCTTGCGTGTGGGATACCTGACGAGACTATGTCAGCGAGTGGATAAACCACCTCTACCCTCCGTTCTATTGGCGAATGTGCAATCACTGGAGAATAAACTGGATGAGCTCAGTTCGAGACTATCCTATCAACATGATTTGAAGAAATCGAATATCCTATGTTTCTCCAACTCGTGGCTGAACAAGGACATGGAAAATATAAATCTAGCTAGTTTTTCTATACATCAGCAGGACATAACTGCAGCGTTGGGTAAACTCAAGGGGGGTGGTGTGCGGCTCTTTGATGCGCGATATCTAATATTAAGGAAGTCGAGGTTCTGCTCGCCTGAGCGAGAATACCTCATGATAAACTGTAGACCATAACATTTATCAAGAGAGTTTTAATCTATATTTTTCGTAGCGGTCTATTTACCACCACAAACCGATGCTGGCTTACACTAAAACCACACTCAACAAGCAAGCTGTATAAGGCCATAAGCAAACAAGAAAATGCTCATCCAGAGGCCGGTGATTTTAATGCAGGAAAACTGAAATCAGTCTTACCTCATTTCTACCAGCATGTAACCGGTGCAACTCTAGATCACCTTTACTCCACACACAGAGACACATACAAAACTCTCCCTCACCCTCCATTTGGCAAATCTGACCATAACTCTATCTTCCTGATTCATGCTTACAAGCAAAAACTTAAAATCAGGAAGTGGTCTGATGAAGCGGATGCTAAGCTAGAGGACTGTTTCACTAGCACACACTGGAATATGTTCCAGGATTCATTCGATGGCATTGAAGAGTTTACCACAGCACCGGCTTCATTAATAAGTGCATCTACGACAACGTCCTCACCAGTGGAGGCTGGTGGGAGGAGCTATAGGAGGGCAGGCTCATTGTAATGGCTGGAATTAAATTATGTTTGATACCGTTCCATTTATTCCATTCCAGCAATTACAAGGAGCCTGTCCTCCTTTAGCTCCTCCCACCAGCCTCCTCTGGTCATCAGAGTGACCATGCGTACATATCCCAATCAGAAGCCATGGATTACAGCCAACATCCACACTGAGCTAAAGGCTAGAGCTGCCGCTTTCAAGGAGCGGGACACTAATCAAGACGTTTATAAGAAATCCCGCTACGCCCTCCGAAGAACAATCAAACAGGCAAAGTGTGAATACAGGACTAAGATCGAATCCTACTACCATGGCTTGGATGCTCGTCGGATGTGGTAGGGCTTGCATACTATCAAGGATTACAAAGGGAAACCAAGCCACGAGCTGCCCAGTGATGCGAGCCTACCAGTCTAGTGAAATGCCTTCTATCCTCTCTTTGAGGGAAGCAACACTGAACCATGCATGAGAGATCCAGCTGTTCCGGATGACTGTGTGATCACGCTCTCCGTAGCCAATGCACTGGGCATAAACGGTCCATATCAGGGGATGTCTTTACATTCTAGATAATACAGACCATTTCCCATGCATATTTTGAGTTTTGTGGATATGCCCCATATCCTGAAAAAGTCTGAATCCAGATAAGGCTTTTAGACATATATGATATTGGGATTACTCCGCATATCACACATGGACATTTTCTATGGACTCATTCAATATCCTGAGATATGTGACATCCTATTTTCTCTCTTTGTGTTGACAAATACTGACTGTATACATTGCATATCTGTTTTCTCAGCACATTCAAGATATGAAGCTATATTGACTGCAGATATGCTTCTCTTGGCTGAGGTCCATATCCGGATCTTCATATGCTAAAGCATGATTTCTGATGCATTTCTAAGTTTTCAGCACACGCTAAATAATTGGACAAATATGAAATCTATATTTTTTTCATGCACAAATCATTTTTGGATTCCCTCTGGATATCATAAATGGTATGGCAGGATATTGACTCATTAGATATCCTGAGATAGGCCTATGTGGACATCTTATTTTCTCTATATGATGACAAATATTGACAGTAGACCTACAAAGTATTTTTTTCTCAGCACATACAATGCATATGCTCTTGACTGAGGTCCATATCAGGATCTTGATATGCATTTTGATATGCTAAATAAGGAACATTTTTTATGCTTATTTGAGGACATGCTCAATAATTTGACAAATATTAAACCATATAATTCTTTCAGACACTAGCTATAATTTTGATATTGCCTCTGGATAAAGGCACGCACAAACCGCAAACTAAAAGCACTGTAACTGGTAGCCTTGCAACAAGAATCACGTATTTTCTGCTGTGGAGTTCCAACTGTCATTTTTGAATTTGGGCGCAACAAATGAGTGTGTAAACCATGTGTGGTCAAACTGACAACTTGATAAACAAAGAAGTGAGAAGCTGTTCAGAAAATACCTCAAAGAAGTTAACGCTAAAGTGAGTAGCTAATTTAGGGATGTTTTAGTTATCTTAGTAACTAGAATCAAGAACGTTAGCTAAATTTGTCCAGCAGCAGTAGCAAGCTAGGCTTGATAGTCGGGTAAAAGCTAACTGGTAGCCTAGCAAGCTAACAAATAACAAAATTGCCTTCCCTTCAGGGAAAAACATTTTTACCCCCTATCAAGCCTCAAGGTGACAGCTAACGTTTTAAAACGTTTAGGCAGATTTTGTATTACTTGGCTAGCTAGCTAGCTTGTTCCAGTTAGTTTTTTCGTCATGAATGAAGCAGGTAGAGTAGCTACCTTGTGGTATGATTATGTGAAAGGACAATATTTTCTTGCCATATTGACACAATTTCGATTAATGATTTATGCATTGAGAGAGTTTGGAGTGGATCACAGACCAAATACTACCACCGAGCTGTGTCTAGACTGCGAGGGACCACCGCTGGCGACCCAATCTGCACCCATCGCATCCATCGTCAAAATCAAACAGGGCAGGCAGGGTTATTGAGGGTGTGCAACTTTTAATTTCTGTTAAATAAATAAAATAAATTTTTAGCAAAGATTGGCCTACGTTTGCATCTTTACAGAAAATACAGTATATGTTGTGATTGGAGCTCTGGATTTGCTATGCAGCATTTTTTAAACAGAAATAGCAGAGATATGCTTTGGAAATAGCAACTTGGATGAAATATGACGATGTTTGCCTTTCTGTGTCTTGTATAGCCTACTACTGAATATGGTGCAAATTAATGCTCAGATATGTCACCTTCATGTGAAGAACCACAATGATTTTCGGCGCCTGAAGAGGTAAAATAATTTGGCCGCTGGACATGTCATGAGTCAGATTTAGCCCATTTTCGATCAGACATACGAGGATGAATATTACATATTATGTAAGGACATCTATTGAAAGTGTTTGTTTTTTTAGAAATATGGATACGTAAATGATCCGGTAATGACTACAGATATTAGGCTTAGGCGGTATCCAGATTGTCATACCGACCTTGTGCCATACCGGGATATTCAGTAATACTGGCACTGAACGCAAGGGGCGCTGTTGTAATCTGAAGGTTAGCAATGCTAACAAGTAAATGTAACATCCCATAGAGAACGCTAACTAAATGCTAACGAGCACATTGCGAACATTTTATAGTCTCTGACCTAAAGTATTTGTAGGACAGACATCTCAGCTCATCAAGTTATACAACTAACTAAAAAATGCTACTCACAGTTTGCTGCATGCACAAAACAAATATCAGACAGCAGGATCCAGGAGGGGATTCTCTGCTGTTACCAAGCTAAACTTGATTTTGGAAGAAGCTAACCACTTAGCTCGATAGCTAAATAGCTACTAAATTAGCAAACCAAATGCACAACTGCAGAGCATTTAGCACATTTTAGACAGTTAATAGTTATAGGATATTTAGCTGCAAACATTTAGTTGTGAAATATATACTGTAACTATACTGAACAAAAATATAAACGCAACATGTAAAGTCCTTGTCCCATTTTTCATGAGCTGAAATAAAATATCCTTGAAATTTTCCATACACACAAAAAGCTTATTTCACTCAAATGTGCAAAAATGTGTTTACATCCCTGTTAGTGAGCATTTTTCCTTTGCCAAGAAGCTGATTAAACAGCATGATCATTACACAGGTGCACCTTGTGCTGAGGACAATAAAAGGCCACTTTAAAATGTGCAGTTTTGTCACAACACAATGCCACAGATGTCTCAGGTTTTGAGGGAGCAAGCAATTGGCCTGCTGACTGCAGGAATGTCCACCAGAGCTGTTGCCAGAGAATGTCATGTTCATTTCTCAACCATAAGCTGCCTCCAACATCGTTTTACAGAATTTGGCAGTACGTCCAACCTGCCTCACAACCACAGACCACGTGAACCTCCACATCCGGCTTATTCACCTGTGGGATCATCTGAGACCAGCCACCCGTACAGCTGATGAAACTGAGGAGTATTTTTGTCTGTTATAACGCCCTTTTGTGGGGAAAAACTAATTATGACTGGCTGGGCCTAGCTCCCCAGTGGGTGGGCCTGGCTCCCAAGTGGGTGGGCCTATACCCTCCCAGGCCCACCCACGGCTGCGCCCCTGCCCAGTCATTAAATATATTTCAATTTACTGATTTCCTTATATGAACTGTACCTCAGTAAAATCATTGAAATTGTTGAATATTGTGTTTATATTTTTGTTCAGGATACATCACCTGGCATGTGCTGCACAACAGTGAGTGACCCTCAACACTCCGGTCTGTCATAGTTAGGTGCTTAGAAACAACCGGGACTACCGGTAAGATTCATAATGAAAAATTATGTGATAGGTAAAATTAAGAACGCAATCTTCTTTATCTCCTAAATTATTTCACAAGTTGACTGCAGTTATTTAAATGTATAAAAATAAAAAACTTCAAAGAAATAGTTAACAGTATTGAAAAACCATCCTGTGGCTATTTCCAAATACCCCGATAAACGGTATACCGCACAAGCCTAACAGATATGATACATTTCAGAAAATATGTAGATTTGTTCATGCCTTAACATAAAGGCTTAGATACAGTCCAGTTGAAGTCAGAAGTTTACATACACCTTAGCCAAATACATTTAAACTCAGTTTTTCACAATTCCTGACATTTAATCCTAGTAAAAATTTCCTGTTTTAGGTCAGTTAGGATCACCACTTTATTTTAAGAATGTGAAATGTCAGAATAATAGTTGAGAGAATGATTTATTTCAGCTTTTATTTATTTCATCACATTCCCAGTCGGTCAGAAGTTTACATACACTCAATTAGTATTTGGTAGCATTGCCTTTAAATTGTTTAACTTGGGTCAAACGTTTCAGGTAGCCTTTCACAAGCTTCCCACAATAAGTTGGGTGAATTTTGGCACATTCCTCCTGACAGAGCTGGTGTAACTGAGTCAGGTTTGTAGGCCTCCTTGCTCGCACACGCTTTTTCAGGTCTGCACACACATTTTCTATAGGATTGAGGTCAGGGCTTTGTGATGGCCAATCCAATACCTTGACTTTGTTGTCCTTAAGCCATTTTGCCACAACTTTGGAAGTCTGCTTGGGGTCATTGTCCATTTGGAAGACCCATTTGCGACCAAGCTTTAACTTCCTGAGTGATGTCTTGAGATGTTGCTTCAATATATCCACATCATTTTCCTTCCTCATGATGCCATCTATTTGTGAAGTGCACCAGTCCCTCCTTCAGCAATGCACCCCCACAGCATGATGCTGCCCCCCCCCGTGCTTCACGGTTGGGATGGTGTTCTTCGGCTGGCAAGCTACCCCCTTTTTCCTCCAAACATAATAAATGGTCAATATGGCCAAACAGTTCTATTTTTGTTTCATCAGACCAGAGGACGTTTCTCCAAAAAGTACGATCTTTGTCCCCATGTGCAGTTGCAAACCGTAGTCTGGCTTTTTTATGGCGGTTTTGGAGCAGTGACTTCTTCCTTGCTGAGCGGCCTTTCAGGTTATGTCGATATAGGACTCGTTTTACTGTGGATATAGATACTTTTGTACCCGTTTCCTCCAGCATCTTCACAAGGTCCTTTGCTGTTCTTCTGGGATTTATTTGCACTTTTTGCACCAAAGTACGTTCATCTCTAGGAGACAGAACGAGTCTCCTTCCTGAGCGGTATGACGGCTGCGTGGTCCCATGGTGTTTATACTTGCGTACTATTGTTTGTACAGATGAACGTGGTACCTTCAGGCATTTGGACATTTCTCCCAAGGATGAACCAGACTTGTGGAGGTCTACAATTATTTTTGGCTGATTTCTTTTGATTTTCCCACGATGTCAAGAAAAGAGGCACTGCGTTTAAAGGTATGCATTGAAATGCATCCACAGGTACACCTCCAATTGACTCAAATTATGTTAATTAGCCTATCAGAAGTTTCTAAAGCAATGACATAATTTTCTGGAATTTTCAAAGCTGTTTAAAGGCACAGTCAACTTAGTGTATGTAAACTTCTGTCCCACTGGAATTGTGATACAGTGAATAAAATGTGAAATAATCTGTCTGTAAACAATTGTTGGAAAAAGTACTTGCGTCACGCACAAAGTAAATGTCCTAACCGACTTGCCAAAACTATAGTTTGTTAACAAGAAATGTGTGGAGTGGTTGAAAAACTAGTTTTAATAACTCAAGCCTAAGTGTATGTAAACTTCCGACTTCAACTATATGTCAGCATGTTGACACATACCCTTTCTGGAGTTAGAATATTCTACAAATATGTAAGCAGGTGCACGCGCATCAGGTGCGTGTCTTGAACGTATCTCACCCCAGATATCTCCCTGGACTCATACGGTAGCAGGGAGATTTCTGAGGTCCGGATTGGATGCATGTAGAAATTACGGAGAATATCCTAGCTCCGTATATGAAATTAAGGACATGCGTATCTGGAGCATGTCTACTCCATATATCTAATAAAATGTCAGATATCCCGAAATATATAGATAAAGACATCCCTGGATGTTGACCCTTTCTGCCAAGTGACGTGAGTAAGCACTTTAAACAGGTTAACATACACAAGGCCGCAGGGCCAGACGGATTACCAGGACGCATACTCAGAGTATGGTCTGACCAGCTGGCAAGTGTATTCACTGACATGTTCAACCTATCCCTGACCCTGTCTGTAATACCTACATGTTTCAAGCAGACCACCATAATCCCTGTGCACAAGAACGCCAAGGTAACCTGTCTAAATGACTATCGCCCCATAGCCCTCACATCTGTAGCCATGAAATGCTTTGAAAGGCTGGTCATGGCTCACATCATCCAAGACACCCTGGACCCACTCCAATTCGCCCCAACAGATTCACAGATTACGCAATCTCTACTGCACTCCACACTGCCCTTTCCCACCTGGAGAAAAGGAACACCTACGTGAGAATGCTGTTCATTGACTACAGCGCAGTGTTCAACACCATAGTACCCTCTAAGCTCATCACTAAGCTAAGGACCCTGCGACTGAACACCTCCCTCTACAACTGGATCCTGGACTCCCTGACGGGCTACCCCCAGGTGGTGAGGGTAGGCAACAACACATCCGTCACGCTGACCCTCAACACGGGGGCCCCTCAGGAGTGTACTCCCTGTTCACCCACGACTCCAACACCATCATTAAGTTTGCCGACGACACAACGGTGGTAGGCCTGATCACTGACGACGATGAGACAGCCTATAGGGAGGTGGTCAGAGACCTGGCAGTATGGTGCCAGGACCACAACCTCTCCCTCAACGTCAGGAAGACAAAGTAGCTGATCGTGGACTACAGGAAACAGAGGGCCAAGCACTCCCGCATTCACATCGACGGGGCTGTAGTGGAGTGGGTTATGGGTTCCTCGGAGTCCACATCACTAAGGACAAATCATGTTCCAAACACACCCAACACAGTCGTGAAGAGGGCACGACAATGCCTCTTTCCCCTCAGGAGGCTGAAAAGATTTGGCATGGGCCCTCGGATCCTCAAAAAGTTCTACAGCTGCACCATTGAGAGCACACATGACTGTAAGTCGCTTTGGATAGAAGCGTCTGCTAAATGGCATATTATATTATTATTATCTTGACTGGCTCCCTGTCATCCAGGATCTCTATACCAGGCGGTGTCAGAGGAACGCCCCAAAAATATAGTCACAGACTTCAGCCACCCAAGTCATAGACTGTTCTCTCTGCTACCTAACCCTAACCCAAGTCTGGGACCGAAAGGCTCCTGAACAGCTTCTACCCCAAAGCAATAAGACTGCTGAACAGTTAATCAAATGGCTACCCAGACTATTTTCATTGACCCCCTCTTTTCTTTGCACTGACTCTCTTACACTGGCTGTGGACCCCAGGAAGAGTAGCTGCTGCCTTCGCAAACAGCTAATAGGGATCCTAATAAAATGCTGGCTCTATGCACACTCACTGGACTCATACTACACTAACATTCCAACACACACACATGCATATTGACGCCACACACACACACACACACTCACACAGACACACTTTCACACACGCTGCTGTTACGCTGTTTATCTATCCTGATTGCCTAGTCACTTTTACCCCTACCTACATGTACATATTACCTCAATTACCTTGTACCCCTGCACATTGACTCGGTAAAGGTACTTATTTTATATAACCTTGTTATTTTATTATGTTATTACTTCCTTTTTTTATTTAGCAAATTTGTCTTACAACTCTGCATTGTTGGCAAAGGGCTCGTAAGTAAGCATTTAGCAGTAAAGTCTACACCTGTTGTATTCGGCGCATGTGACAAATAACGTTTTATTTGATTTGATGTGGAGCCAGCTAAGCATGGGCGGAGACTGAGTGGGTTAAATTATTGGCAAGTAAGCCACGAAGCGCCAAAGTCAGGGGTTCAGGTAAAGAGCTGACTGGAGGTCAAGTGGGGCTGGGGATCATTAATAAGTTTTGGACAAATACCCGTCATAACCCCATCCCCTCTTTCCATCTCTGCCCATAGCCACATTTTGTCCTTGAGTGCAAAGGCGTGGAGTGCAGTTGCTCATGCAGAAAGGATTACGCAGCACTTCTAAAGGATGATAGTCTCTTTTTGCCTTTCTTGCCGCTCCCCTTTGTTCTACCTCAACATCATAGTTGGTGCTGGCCCCATAGAAATATAATGAGTATTATTCTAATTATATTCTAAATTCTATTGCTGGCCCACCCTGTGCAGGACACTGTCTCTTACCAACGCACGTTCTGAGGATCAGGAGCATAGCTCACACTCCAGTTGTAGATGTGGAGACTTTCACTGAACTGGGATGACCTGGGCTCTTGGCGGCATGTGCAGCCATGGCATTGGCATGCATTGAAGTCCTTTAGGATTCTGTGAAAAGTGGTAAATGGCAAGGAAATTGAGTAGGCTAAACAAGCTTTTATTTAATTTGGCGATGGCACTGATCTACTGAGACGTTTTGAAAGACCATCCTGATCACATATAGCAGAGCATGCATGCACAAACAAACAAATACACCACACAAACATCAAATTATGTCGAGATCGACTCACATTGCAGTCATGGCCTCATTCTGGAAAGTGACGAACGCCATGCCAAGAGGTTTGGTGTTCACCTTCTCTTTCTCCTTTCTGTACTCCTCCTTCAGTTTGGCCTCCCGCTTAGTATAGAAGCTCACTGCCTCTTCCTGAAATACAATGACAGATTATACTTTACATAACATTGCACAGTAGTTTAATTTGCACATCCCTAAAGGTACAGCCTAATAAATGTGATGGTTTTCCGGGTGTCCAACCTGCTCACAGCCTTTGATGACACAGCAGCAGAGGTGGCCACAGGGCTTGGGGTTGATCATGGTGGGCATGTGCTCTTTGGCCATGAGATCAGTGAAGAACTTTAAACTGCGCTCTGTCTTCTTCCTGTGAGGCGACACACACACGCGGACACAAAAATCATATTGAGAGCTCTGCACACGGTGCACACATCGACGCACAATCCTGTACACATGCATGGTGACATACTGTACGTCCTCATCAGAGCAGTACATACACTCGCAAACATGCATAAACACGCTCACACAACAGACAAAGTCAAGCTCAAGTCTTCGGGTGAGTGCATTTCGACCCATAACTTTGGCAATCAATACCAGTAGCATGGAGGATTTCTCCATCCACTGGAGATCAATAGTGTTTAGCACCAGTGGGCGAGTAGGAGGAGATAAAGATGGCCGCTGCTGAGTCATCAAGGGCTACTTCCGTCATCAGAACTCACTGACCTAAAGAATATGGCCTCTCTCCTCCGATATCTTATAGGTCACACAGATAACATGTTTATGCAACAGTGTCCATAACTGTGAATAACTTTAAACAAAGTCGTTCGTCTACAGGGTTGGGTAGGTTACTTTCTAAATGTCATCTGTTACAGTTACTAGTTACCTATCCAAAATTATATATCAGTTACCTATCCAAAATTATATATCAGTAAAGTAACTTTTGGATTACCCAAACTCAGTAAAGTAATCTAAGTTTAGGCATTAACTCCGAATGGTTAAGGTAATGGTTAAGGTTTGGGATAGGCTTAAAACAAAAATTTCAAAAACAACTTTCTATCGCTGGATTCGAACATGCAACCTTTGGAACCAGAGGCAGATGCTGACAAAAACAACTTTCTATCGCTGGATTCAAACATGCAATCTTTGGAACCAGAGGCAGACGCCCATCCACCATCCCCGTTCACAACACCCTAGCAAAACCAAAGCCTACTTGATGGTAACAGCGCTCACTGTTGCCCCTAGTGGCTGGTTTCCACGTCATCTCCCGACGTCCTCAGACATGGATGGATGTTGAATACTGACTTGTATCACGGGTGAACTACCTGTTCAAGATATAGGATTTTCAAGAAGCAAAGTGTAACTTGCCACATCACTGTATTAACAGTGAACCAAATGTAGTTTGAGTGGATTATTCCTTGAAGAGGCATTAGAAGACAAAAAGGATCCATCAAACACATTAGGTGTGTCATCATAGTGGTCTCGGACTTCTGGTCAGACTCACTCGTGTGGAACAAACTTACACTTGCGTTTATTTTTTCCAATGCTGAAATGAATGTCATTTTTCGCAATCATCGTTTCTGCATTTAAATGTAATCCAAGAAGTAAACATGTAACAGTTACTTTCTAAATCTAATCTGTTACAGTTACCTATCCAAAATTATAATCAATAACGTAATTTTTGGATTACCCAAACTCAGTAAAGTAATCTAAGTTTAGGCATTAACTCCAAATTCTTAAGGTTAGGCATTAACTCCGAATGGTTAAAGTAAGGGTTAATGTTTAGTTACTCCTCATGTAGTTACTCACCCAACCCTGCGTCTCCATATACAATTCAAACACTATTTTATGGACCTTACACTTGCCTTGACCCATTTGTTGAGCGTGAGGAGGTAAATAATTTAATTAATGTAATATCTCTACGTCTGGTCAACAATTTTATGCTTTTGGGTGCTTTTTGTCTCCTTCAAAAAGGCAGGAATAAATTCCACCTGGAGTTCTTCTACAGTAACTACAGATGTTGGATCTTAATTAGACCTGTATTGTCGCAGAAACAGGATTTTAACGTTTAGTCCATCATGTTGCTTGATCGCTGGTCAAAATTAGGCTACATGTAAAGTGGAATACGGATAATATAACCATGTGTTAGTGCGGGTTTTCAGTGAATTTATGTAAATCACTCACCTGCATTGCAGCACAGGCAAATCTCAGCAACAAAAGTGTGATCAAATTAAAATCCTGTAGTGAAGTAATACTTATCATATAGGCTAGATAATATATACCTCACGTGACCCGTGATAAGACTATGTAATTAGCCTATTAAAATGTTTTTCTGACTCCATAAAGATTATTTAGCAAAATGCAAGAAACTATAGTTGAGTTACAGTAATAGGCTATCAAGAAAGGTCTGAGTTGTCAAAGGCAAAAATACGTAACATCATTGTAAAAATAAATGATTCAATTATACAAGGCATAAGCTTAAGTTACAAGGCATTATTCTACGCATGATCAGACAGGGAATGAGAGAGACGTCATGACTTGTGCCATGTCCCGTAGCTCTTGGGGGAGACAGAGATAGAACGACAGTGTATATTTCACCAACGCAGGTCAGGAACAAAGAGAATCTGACTTGTTTGGATTCAAAATCTGAGTTGTTGACCAATAGCATTACTGTTGAGTTAACTTCCAATCAGATATCAGACCCGCAGGATATAAAGACAACGGAACCTGTTTCACAGAGGTGTGATAGAATGGGGGATGTGGAGAGCAACACAGACAAGGCTGAATTCTTAAGACAACATAAAGGAAATCTTTGCATACAGTGTAAAGAGTCACTTCGGGGGCTAGGCCTCACCTACAATCCTACATCTGTACAATTTTGCCAAGCACTGCCATTTTATGTAGTGGGGGTTGGATATGTTGGGGGATATGTTGGGGGCTGAAATTGTGATGAAGCATTCTAAAGGAAAGTGAGAATGAACACAATTGGTGAACAGCAGGTAAAGGTCTCACCTCTCAGCATTCAGGGACATGAGTTTGGCTACGTTGTAGCAGATTCGAGCATCCAGAACAATGCAGTTCTCATAGGCTTGTCTGTGTGACAATGGCGAGAAAACAAAACAGAACAATTACCATACTATAATGAGAGTTGATCAAGTCTGTGATCTTAAAATGCAGTGACAAAATTTTTTTACCGAATATATACCGATGTTCAGTATATAGGATAAATTGAGCTACACCTCCAATATTAGTACACTAACGTCTGTCCATCAGTGAGTCACCTTGGTTTTACATTTCATTTGAACATTTCTGAATGATAAATCAGATGGGGAACAATTTCATCTGTGGTGTCTTCAAGGTAAACGGGGGAACTTACACAATCATTCACTGTCAGAGTTCTATTTTGACTGGGCCTAAAACAGATGTGCCTGTATTCCAATGTGCTTGGGTTTAATCCAGAACAGGAGATTGACTGGTACAATATGCTGACAATGCAATCTTAACCAGTGGTGGAAAAAGTACCCAATTATCATACTTGAGTAAAAGTAAAGATACCTTAATAGAAAATGACTCAAGTAAAAGTGAAAGTCACCAAGCAAATTACCACTTGTGTAAAATTCTAAAAATATTTGGGTTTAAATATACTTAATTATCAAAAGTAAATGTAACTACTAAATTATACCTAAGTATCAAAAGCAAAAGTATCAATCATTTAAAAAATTTTATATTAAGCAAACCAGACGGCACGATTTTCTTGTTTTTTAAAATTTACGGATAGCCAGGGGAACACTCCAACACTCAGACATCATTTACAAATGACGCATGTGTGTTTAGTGAGTCCGCCAGATCAGAAACGTAGGGATAACCAGGGATGTTCTCTTGAAAGTGTGTGAATTATACCATTTTCCTGTCTTGCTAAACATTCAAAATGTAACAAGTACTTTTGGGCGTCAGGGAAAATGTATGGAGCAATAAGTACATTATTTTCTTTAAGAACGTAGTAGAGTAAAAGTTGTAAAAAATATAAAATAGTAAAGTGGTCCTCTGTAGCTCAATTGGTAGAGCATGGCGCTTGTAACGCCAGGGTAGTGGGTTCGATCGCCGGGACCACCCATACACAAAAAATGTATGCACGCATGACTAAGTCGCTAAATGGCATTTTTTGTTTATTTCATTTTATTATTTTTTAATTACATTTTATATTTTTATTTTTTATTTATTTTTATTTTATTTTTTAGTAAAGTACATATACTCCAAAAAACTACTTAAGTAGTACTTTAAAGTATTTTTACTTAAGTACTTCACACCACTGATCTTAACCCACTTCCCACATACAGTGCCTTCAGAAAGTATTCATACCTCTTGGCTTATTCCACAGTTTGTTGTGTTACTAACTGAATAAAAAATGGATTAAATAGATTTTTTTCTTCTCATCCATCTATCTATACACATTAACCCATAATGACAAAGTGAAAACATGTTTTTAGAAATGTTTGCAAATGTTTTGAAAAATAAATACAGTACCAGTCAAAAGTTTGGACACACCTACTCATTCAAGGGTTTTTCTTATTTTTTTAAACTATTTTCTACATTTTAGAATAACAGTGAAGATATCAAAACTATGAAATAATACATATGGAATCATGTAGTAACCAAAAAAATGTTAAACAAATCAAAATACATTTTATATTTGAGAGTCTTCAAAGTATACACCCTTTGCCTTGATGACAGCTTTGCACACACTCTTGGCATTCTCTCAACCAGCTTCACCTGGAATGCTTTTCCAACAGTCTTGAAGGAGTTCCCACATATGCTGAGCACTTGTTGGCTGCTTTTCCTTCACGCTGCGGTCCAACTCATCCCAAACAATCTCAATTGGGTTGAGGTTGGGTGATTGTGGAGGCCAGGTCATCTGATGCAGCACTCCATCACTCTCCTTCTTGGTCAAATAGTCCTTACACAGCCTGGAGGTGTGTTGGGTCACTATCCTGTTGAAAAACAAATGATAGTCCCACTAAGGCCAAACAAGATGGGATGGCGTATCGCTGCAGAATGCTGTGGTAGCCATGCTGGTTAAGTGTGCCTTGAATTCTAAATAAATCACTGACCAGCAAAGCACCCCCCCCCCCCCATCACACCTCCTCCTCCAAGCTTCACTGTGGGAACCACACTTGCAGAGATAATCCGTTCACCTACTCTGCGTCTCACAAAGACACGGCGGTTGGAACCAAAAATCTCAAATTTGGACTCATCAGACCAAAGGACAGATTTCCACCGGTCTAATGTCCATTGCTCGGGTTTCTTGGCCCAAGCAAGTCTCTTCTTATTGGTATCCTTTAGAAGTGGTTTCTTTGCAGCAATCTTCCTTTCCTGTGGAGGACCTCATGAGAGCCAGTTTCATCATAGCGCTTGATGATCTTTGCGACTGCACTTTAAGAAACGTTCAAAGTTCTTCAGTAGGTGTGTCCAAACTTTTCACTGGTACTGTAAGTATTCACACCCCTGAGTCAATACTTTGTAGAAGCACCTTTGGCCGCGATTACAGCTTTGAGTCGTCTTGTATCAGCTTTGCACATCTGGATTTGGGGATTTTCTCCCATTCTTCCTTGTAGATTTTCTCAAGCTCTGTTGAATTAGATGGGGAGCGGCATTGAACAGTAATCTTCAAGTATTTCCACAGATTTTCAATAGTATTCAAGTCTGGGCTTCGCCTGGGCCACTCAAGGACTTTCACATTCTTGTTCAAAAGCCATTCCAGCATTGCTTTGGCTGTATGCTTGGGGTCATTGTCCTGTTGGAATGTAAATATTTGCACCAGTTTAAGGTTGTTTGCACTGTGAAACAGGTTCTCATCAAGGATTTGCCTGTATTTGGTTCCATTCATTGTTCCCTCTATCCTTACCAGTCTCCCAGTCCCTGCCGCTGAAAAGCATCCCTATAGCATGCTGCTGCCACCACCATGCTTCACAGTAGGGATGGTGTTAGACAGGTGATTAGCTGTGCCAGGTTTTCTCCAGACATAGTTTAATTTTGGTCTCATCAGACCACATAATATTTTGCCTTATGCTTATGGACAACCAGCTGGGTAGTTCCATATTTTTTCAATTTACCAATGATGGAGACCACTGTGCTCTTGGAAACTTTCAACAATCTAGAAATTGTTTTGTATCTTTTGTAGTGGACATTTTTTGTGTCCTTTGTGTCTCTGCAAATGCGTGACTACATGTAGCGTATTGTTTCTTGTTATTGTGTTAGGATGTTCTGTGACTGCTCTCAGGGAAGGGACTGATAGAAGAACAGAAATAAGGGAACATATTGCTACTTTGGCCCAACACCTAGAAACTGTGTGTGCAAGGTCATGATCAGCCTATTGCACCCTGAGAGCAGAGACGCCTAGTTTGTGCATGAGTATAAAGAGTGCTGAAGGGAGAGCACCCCTTCAGAGCTTCTGACAGACTTGTACTTTGAGTATTACGTTTGTTGTAACCTCTCCGGCCGTGATAATAAAGATATGTTCATTAACTTTGAGTCCTTAGTGGTGAATTTCCACGACACCTTCCCCAGATATACTGTATACCTAATCACAATTCAATCTCGGATATCTACGGGCAGTTCCTTGGGACCTTATATAGACAGGAGTGTTTCTTTCTAAATTATGTCCAAACAATTGAATCGGCCACAGGTGGACACCAATCAGGTTGTAGTAACAGCTCAAGGATGACCAAGGAAATTGGATGCACCTGAGCTCAATTTGGAGTGTCCTAGCAAATGGGTGTGAATACTTATGTAAATTAGATATTTCTGTATTTCATTTTCAATACATTTGCAAAACTTTCTAAAAACATGTTCTCACTTTGTCATTATGGGGCATTGTGTGTGGATGAGTGAGATTATAATATTTTTAATCCATTTTGAATTCAGACTAACACAACAAAATGTGGAATAAGTCAAGGGGTATGAATACTTTCTGAAGGCACATACAGTGGGGTCCGAAATTGACACCCTTGAGAAAGATGAGCAATAATGACTGTATAAAATAAACACATCAAATACTGAGCTATATATTATGCTAATTATGCTTATCTGTTTGGATTTATTAAGGATCCCCATTAGCTGCTGCCAAGGCACCAGCTACTCTTCCTGGGGTCCAGCAAAGTTAAGGCAGTTATATACCATTTAAAATATTACATGACATTACATTTCATAACACTTTACCCAATACATTTAGTTTGTTCCCTCAGGCCACTACTCCACTATCACATATTTACAATACAACATCCATGTGTATGTGTGTGTAGAGTGTGTGTCTTATGTGTATGTGTGTCTGTGCCTGTGTGTGTGTGTGTGTGTGTGTGTGTGTCTCTTCACAGTCCCTGCTGTCCATAAGGTGTATTTTAAAATCTGATTCTACTGCTTGCATCCGTTACCTGATGTGGAATAGAGTTCCATGTAGCCATGGCTCTATGTAGTACTGCGCGCCTCCCATAGTCTGTTCTTGACTTGGGGATTGTGAAGAGACCTTTGGTGGCATGTCTTGTGGGGTATGCATGGGTGTCCGAACTGTGTGCTAGTAGTTTAAACAGACACCTCTGTGCATTCAGCATGACAACACTTCTTACAAAAACAAGTAGTGATGAAGTCAATCTCTCTTCCACTTTGAGCCATGAGAGATTTACATGTATATCATTAATGTTAGCCCTCCGTGTACATTTAAGGGCTAGCCGTGCTGCCCTGTTGAGCCAATTGTAATTTTCTGAGGTCTCTCTTTGTGGCACCTGACCACACAACTGAACAGTAGTCCCAGTGCGACAAAACTAGAGCCTGTAAGACCTGCCTTGTTGATAGTGTTGTTAAAAAGGCAGAGTAGCGCTTTATTATGGACAGACTTCTCCGCATCTTAGCTACTGTTGTATCAACATGTTTTGACCATGACAGTTTACAATCCAGGGTTACTACAGCAGTTTAGTCACCTCAACTTGCTCAATTTAAACATGATTTATTACAAGATTTAGTTGAGGTTCATGGTTTAGTGAATGATTTGTCCCAAATACAATGCTTTTCATTTTTAAAATATTTAGGACTAACTTACTCCTTGCCACCCATTCTGAAACGAACTGCAGTTTGTTAAGTGTTGCCGTCATTGCAGCCAGCTGCCCTGGGGAATTCCTGATTCTACCTGGATTATGTTGGAGAGGCTTCCATTAAAGAACACCCTCTGTGTTTTGTTAGACAGGTTCTTTCTCCACAATATAGCAGGGGTGTAAAGCCATAAAACATACGTTTTTCCATCAGCAGACTATGATCGATAATGTCAAAAGCCGTACTGAAGTCTAACAAAACAGCTCCCACAATCTCTTTATCATAAATTTCTCTCAGCCAATCACCAGTCATTTGTGTAAGTGCCGTACTTGTTGAATGTCCTTCCCTTTAAGCGTGCTGAAAGTCTGTGGTAAATTTGCTTAAAGTAAAATAGCATTGTATCTGGTCAAACACAATTTTTTCCAAAAGTTTACTAAAGGTTGGTAACAGGCTAATGGGTCGGCTATTTGAGCCAGTAAAGGGGGCTTTACTATTCTTGGGTAGCGGAATTGCTTTTGCTTCCCTCCAGGCCTGAAGGCACACACTTTCAAGTAGGCTTAGACTGAAGATATGGCAAATAGGACTGCCGATATCATCCACTATTATCCTCAGTAATTTTCCATCCAAGTTGTCAGACCCCGGTGGCTTGTCATTGTTGATAGACAACAATAATTTTTTGTTTTATAACAATACAATTGCTCATAGAAAGATATTTTGTTTAACAAGTAATATTATTTTCTCTCAAAAAGGTAAGGGTCAAAATGATTGACACCCCTAAATATTCTTATAAATAAAGTAGTAAAAAGTGTAGTATTTGTTCCCTTATTCCTAGCATGAAATGACTACATCAAGCATGTGACTCTACAAACTTGTTGGATGCATTTACAGTTCGTTTTGGGTGTGTTTAAGATTATTTTAGCCAAATATAAATTAATGGTAAACAATGTATTGTGTCATTTTGGAGTCACTTTTATTATAAATAAGAATATAATATTTTCCTAAACACTTCTACATTAATGTGGAAGCTCCCATGATTACAGATAATCCTGAATTAATCGTGAATAATGATGAGTGAGAAATCATACCCCCAAGACATGCTAACCTCCCCTGTTATTGGTCATGTTTAGAAACATATATTTAGAAAGTGTTTAAAAACACATTATTATTTTCTTATTTAAAATAAAAGTGACTCCAAAATGACAATACATTACTTACAGTTGAAGTCGGAAGTTTACATACACCTTAGCCAAATACATTTAAACTCAGTTTTTCACAATTCCTGACATTTAATCCTAGTAATCTTATGTCAGTTAGGATCACCACTTTATTTTAAGAATGTGAAATGTCAGAATAATAGTAGAGAGAATGATTTATTTCAGCTTTTATTTCTTTCATCACATTCCCAGTGGGTCAGAAGTTTACATACACTCAATTAGTATTTGGTAGCATTGCCTTTAAATTGTTTAACATGGGTCAAACATTTCAGGTAGCCTTCCACAAGCTTCCCACAATAAGTTGGGTGAATTTTGGCCCATTCCTACTGACAGAGCTGGTGTAACTGAGTCAGGTTTGTAGGCCTCCTTGCTCGCACACGCTTTTTCAGTTCTGCCCACAAATGTTCTATAGGATTGAGGTCAGGGCTTTGTGATGGCCATTCCAATACCTTGACTTTGTTGTCCTTAAGCCATTTTACCACAACTTTGGAAGTCTGCTTGGGGTCATTGTCCATTTGGAAGACCCATTTGCGAGCAACCTTTAACTTCTTGACTGATGTCTTGAGATGTTGCTTCAATATATCCTCAATTTTCCTTCCTCATGATGCCATCTACTTTGTGAAGTGCACCAATCCCTCCTGCAGCAAAGCACCCCCACAGCATGATGCTGCCACCCCCGTGCTTCACGGTTGGGATGGTGTTCTTCGGCTTGCAAGCCATCCCCCTTTTCCTCCAAACATAACGATGGTCATTATGGCCAAACAGTTCTATTTTTGTTTCATCAGACCGGAGGACATTTCTCCAAAAAGTACAATCTTTGTCCCAATGTGCAGTTGCAAACCGTAGTCTGGCATTTTTATGGCCGTTTTGGAGCAGTGGCTTCTTCCTTGCTGAGCGGCCTTTCAGGTTATGTCAATATGGGGCTCGTTTTACTATGGATATAGATCCTTTTGTACCTGTTTCCTCCAGCATCTTCACAACTCTACAAATTTGCATACCGCCCCAACAGATCCACAGATGATGCAATCTCTATTGCACTCCACACTGCCCTTTCCCACCTGGACAAGAGGAACACCTACGTGAGAATGCTATTCATTGACTACAGCTCAGCATTCAACACCATAGTGCACTCTAAGCTCATCACTAAGCTAAGGATCCTGGGACTAAACACCTCCCTCTGCAACTGGATCCTGGACTTCCTGACAGGCCGCCCCCAGGTGGTAAGGGTAGGTAACAACACATCTGCCACACTGATCCTCAACACGGGGGCCCCTCAGGGGTGCGTGCTCAGTCCCCTCCTGTACTCTCTGTTCACCCATGACTGCATGGCCAGGCACGACTCCAACACCATCATTAAGTTTGCCGACGACACAACAGTGGTAGGCCTGATCACCGACAACGATGAGACAGCCTATAGGGAGGAGGTCAGAGATCTGGCCGTGTGGTGCCAGGACAACAACCTCTCCCTCAACGTGACCAAGACAAAGGAGATGATTGTGGACTACAGGGAAAAAAAAGAGGACTGAGCATGCCCCCATTCTCATCGACGGGGCTGTAGTGGAACAAGTTGAGAGCTTCAAGTTCCTTGGTGTCCACATCACCAACAAACTATCATGGTCCAAACACACCAAGACAGTCGTGAAGAGGGCACGACAAAGCCTATTCCCCCTAAGGAGACTGAAAAGATTTGGCATGGGTCCTCAGATCCTCAAAAAATTCTACAGCTGCACCATCGAGAGCATCCTGACTGGTTGCATCACCGCCTGGTATGGCAACTGCTTGGCCTCCGACTGCAAGGCACTACAGAGGGAAGTGCGTACGGCCCAGTACATCACTGGGGCAAAGCTTCCTGCCATCCAGGACCTCTATACCAGGCGGTGTCAGAGGAAGGCCCTCAAAATTGTCAAAGACTCCAGCCACCCTAGTCATAGACTGTTCTCTCTGCTACCGCACGGCAAGCGGTACCGGAGTGCCAAGTCTAGGTCCAAAAGACTTCTCAACAGCTTCTACCCCCAAGCCATAAGACTCCTGAACAGCTAATCATGGCTACCCGGACTATTTGCACTGCCCCCCCACCCCATCCTTTCTACGCTGCTGCTACTCTGTTAAGTATTTATGCATAGTCACTTTAACTCTACCCACATGTACATATTACCTCAACTACCTCAACTAGCCGGTGCCCCCGCACATTGACTCTGCAACGGTACCCCACTGTATATATACAGCCTCCCTACTGTCACTTTATTTTACTTCTGCTCTTTTTTTTTCTCAACACTTTTTTTTGTTGTTGTTTTATTTTTACTTTTTTTTGTTTAAAATAAATGCACTGTTGGTTAAGGGCTGTAAGTAAGCATTTCACTGTAATGTCTGCACCTGTTGTATTCGGCACATGTGACCAACACAATTTGATTTGATTTGAAGGTCATTTGCTGTTGTTCTGGGATTGATTTGAACTTTTCGCACCAAAGTACATTCATCTCTAGGAGACAGAACACGTCTCCTTCCTGAGCGGTATGACGGCTGCGTGGTCCCATGGTGTTTATACTTGTGTACTATTGTTTGTGCAGATAAACGTGGTACCTTCAGGCATTTGGAAATTGCTCCCAAGGATGAACCAGACTTGTGGAGGTCTACAATTATTTTTCTGAGGTCTTGCCTGATTTCTTTTGATTTTCCCATGATGTCAAGCAAAGAGGCACTGAGTTTGAAGGTAGGCCTTGAAATACATCCACAGGTACACCTCAAATTTACTCAAATGATGTCAATTAGCCTATCAGAAGCTTCTAAAGCCATGACATCATTTTCTGGAGTTTTCCAAGCTGTTTAAAAGGCACAGTCAATTTAGTGTATGTAAACTTCTGACCCACTGGAATTGTGATACAGTGAATTATAAGTGAAATAATCTGTCTGTAAACAATTGTTGGAAAAATTCCTTGTGTCATGCACAAAGTAGATGTCCTAACCGACTTGCCAAAACTATAGTTTGTTAAAAATAAAAAGTGGTTGAAACACGAGTTTTAATGACTCCAACCTAAGTGTATGTAAACTTCCGACTTCACCTGTACCATTCATTTAATTGGGCACAACATAATCTGAAACAACCAAAAGGAACTGTAAATGCATCCAAAAAGTTTGTAGGGTCACAAGCTTGATGTAGTCACAGCATGCTAGGAATATGGGACCAAATACTAAACTTTTGACTACTTTATTTATAAGAGTCTTTAGTGGTGTCAATCATTTTGACCCCTAACTTTCTGAGAAAGAAAATGTTACTTGTTAAAGAAAATCTCTTTCTGAGCAACTTTAGTAGTATAAAATATAATTTCCCTTTTTTTGCATACAATATAGCTCAGTATTTGAATTATTTATTTTATACAGTCATTATTTCTCATCTTTATCAATGATGTCAATACATTCGGACCCCACTGTATAATGTACCACACATGCAGGTGCAAGCCAATGCCTTGCTGATGCCTGACAATAAATGAAACCAGAGAAACGCTTACTCAAAGTGTTGTTTTATGTGGACCTCTTCGGCATATTTGGAGATCCCATTGATAAATAAAGTGCGTTTCACCTGAAAAAGAGCATATGCCTTGATTTATGACTGCTGAATTTTTTTTTTTTTTACTGTACATCATAACTATTACATTCCAAATGTTCCTATAGTAGCCCACTGATTAAGTGGACATTGCATTCATCTGAATTTGACTAAGCTGGATAAATAAAATAAATCAACTTTACCAGGTCGTCCTCCTTGTAATGCATCTTGGACGTGTGTCGTCTCATGCTGTACACAGTCAGAAGCAGGTATATGAATGCAAACAAAGTGTGGAGCCACAAGAGGTTAGTCCTGAGAAAACGCAGAAGAGATTTGATAAGTCAACACTAACACTTGATAGCTGTGGACCTACACATCCTAGTGGGCAAACATTTGGGTTGGAATGTCATATTGATATAATTTTCTAGTTGTAAACTGGTTTTCTATTTATTTATTTTACCCTTATTTTACCAGGTAAGTTGACTGAGAACACATTCTCATTTACAGCAATGACCAGGGGAATAGTTACAGGGAAGGTCAGACTACAACAAGATGAAGATGTATTTTTCATGATGTCATTAAGACGTCAAGGAAAGACAGTATATTTTGGTTGTTATCTGGTCAGATAAGCAGATGACAACCAATAAGTAAATTGTTTTTGCTGGTTGTTTTAAATATTTAAAACATTACAACCAATCATCTGATCATGATGTACCAAAATACTTAATAATAAAGTCATTGCAACCAGTTTTGCCTGCTGGGATTTTCCGTAACTACCATCATTCTTTCTTTTCAAATAATGCCATTGGTTTAATAACCAACAAAATAACAAAAGCGTGTTGTAAAAAATGTACCAACCCAGACTTCAGGTTTGCTATAGTGGTCCGCCCAAAGCTGTATGCATTATTTTCTGGTGACAAAAAGAGAACACTGTATATAGACATTTTCTTGTGACATTTCCTTTAAGTATTTCTATTATCTGTATTTAGCTATCTGTTGGTCAATTTAAATAATACTTTCTTGTAACAATTTACCTATGATAGTCAACGTAAATAAAGTAGTCTGCAGAAGAATACAACCTAACAGCTGAGATACACTACATGACCAAAAATATGTAGACACCTGCTTGTCGAATATCTCATTCCAAAATGGACATTAACATGGAGTTGTTCCCCCTTTGCTGCTATAACAGCCTCCACTCTTCTGGGAAGTCTTTCCACTAGACGTTGGAACATTGCTGCGGGGACTTGCTTCCATTCAGCCACAAGAGCATTAGTGAGGTCGGGCACTGATGTTGGGCGATTAGGCCTGGCTGGCAGTCGGTCTTCCAATTCATTCCAAAGGTGTTAGATGGGGTTGAGGTCAGGGCTCTGTGCAGGCCAGTCAAGTTCTTCCACACCGATTTCAACAAACCATTTCTGTATGGACCTCGCTTTGTGCACTGGGGCATTGTCATGCTGAAACAGGAAAGGGCCTTCCCCAAACTGTTGCCACAAAGTTGGAAGCACAGAATCGTCTAGAATGTCATTGTATGCTGTAGCGTTAAAGATTTCCCTTCACTAGAACTAAGGGGCCTAGCCCGAACCATGAAAAACAGCCCCAGACTGTTATTCCTTCTCCACCAAACTTTACAGTTGGCACTATGCATTGGGGTAGGTAGCGTTCTCCTGGCATCCGCCAAACCCAGATTCGTCCGTCGGACTGCCAGATAGTGAAGCGTGATTCATCACTCCAGAGAACGCGTTTCCACTGCTCCAGAGTCCAATGGCGGTGAGCTTTACACAACTCCAGCCGACGCTTGGCATTGCGCATGGTGATCTTAGGCTTGTGTGCGGCTGCTCGGCCATGGAAACCCATTTCCTGAAGCTCCCGACGAACAGTTATTGTACTGATGTTGCTTCCAGAGGCAGTTTAGAACTCGGTAGTGATGACAAGAGGGAAGCCTGTTCAGAATAAAAATATTCCAAAACACGCACCTTGTTTGCAATAAGGCACTAAAGTAAAACTGCAAAAAATGTGGCAAAGAAATGAACTTTTGCAGTGCTGAGGTGTCACTACAGCCTCGGGTTCGATCCCAGGCTGTGTCACAGCCGGCCGTGACCTGGAGACCCATGAGGTGGCGCACAATTGGCCCAGCGTCATCCGGGTTTGGCCGGCCGGGATTTCTCATCGTGCTCTAGCGACTCCTTGGGGCGGCCCGGGCGCCTGCAAGCTGACTTCGATTGTCAGTTGTACGGTGTTTCCTCTGACACATTGGAGCAGCTGGCTTCCGGGTTAAGCGAGCAGTGTGTCAAGAAGCAGGGTCGTGTTTCGGGGGACGCATGGCTCTCAACCTTCACCTCTCCTGAGTCCGTAGGGGAGTTGCAGCGATGAGACAAGACTGTAACTACCAATTGGATACCACAAAATTAGGGAGAAAAAGGGGTCAAAGTAAAACAACAATTTTAAAAATAACTTTATATCCTGAATAGAAAGTGTTATGTTTGGGGCAAATTCTATACAACACATCACTGAGTCCCACTCTTCATATTTTCAAGCATAGTGGTGGCTGAATCATGTTATGGGTATGCTTGTCATCAGCGAGGACTAGGGAGTTTTTAGGATAAAAATAAGCGGAATAGAGCTAAGCACCGATAAAATCCTAAAGGAAAACCTGGTTCAGTGCTTTCCAACAGACACTGGGAGACAAATTCACCTTACATTAGGACAATAACCTAAAGCACAAGGCCAAATATATAATGGAATTAGTTACCAAGATGATGTTGAATGTTCCTGAGTGGCCTAGTTTCAGTTTTGACTTAAATTGGCTTGAAAATCTATTGCAAGACTTGAAAATGGCTGTCTAGCAATGATCAACAATCAACTTGACAGAGCTTGAAGAATTTAAAAAAAGAATAATTTGCAAATATTGTTCAATACAAGTGTGCAAACCTCTTAGATACATACCCAGAAAGACTCACAGCTGTAATGGCTGCCAAATGTGATTCTAACATGTATTGACTGAGGGGTGTGAATACTTCTGTATTTAATTTTCAATACATTCTACAAATATGTTTTCACTTTTTCATTATGGGGTATTGTGTGTAGATTGGATTCCATTTTGAATTCATGTTGTAACACAACAAAATGTGAAATAAGTCAAGTGGTATGAATACTTTTTGAAGGCACTGCAAATGCCTTAAATGGGCCATTTTGGCATATCATAACCCCAAAACAAGGACTCATTGATCCATTTGTGATTTTGTTGTCATAGGAGATTTTGTAAACTAACTGTACAATGGAGAGCAGATATGCTACTTCTATGTGCAAATCTGATGGAATACGACTCCCTTCATATTGTTCCATTGTAAAAAAAAAATTGAAGTCACATCATTTATATACAAAGTCTCACATGACAACAAAAACTATGTAGTGTGTCTTTAGCTTAAGGTGATCTCATTAATAATGGATTTATAAGGTAAACAAGAGGTAAATCTCATTAATAGAAATGAAGGGAAATCTGGCACACTCACCCAAAAGGTCTCCAGAAAAGTTGACTGGCAGGACGATGCCCACAGACAGAACCCCAACAACCACCAGCTGGCCGATGATGTGGCGCTGGAATGAAAGGTAGTGCACGGCGTCCTCACCACACTTCTCCCGGATCTCCTCGTCCCTAGGCGGGGTAAGGGCAGGAGAAGTGGGTTAACTTTTGGAGTATAAATTGAGCCCCATTTACACAGAGACAATAACCTTCTTTTTAAACTTTGTGACCTTATTTTTGGTGAAAGGGGTAGGGGGTACATGTTTTTTTTTCATTTTAAACGACCAAAAGCCCAGACTGAGACCAAGTCATGTGCAGACCTGGTATAACTAGTTTTAACTATGCTTTGTGGAAAGTCAAAATGTTGTTGGGAGGAACAAATAGTTTGTTTGGAGGTGACTGCAAATATTTGAATACAGATACCCCAAAATAGTTAATTTTTCTAAACTATTTGAATACAGATCTCAGAAAGTAACTTAGTTTTTAAAACTACGTGAATACAGATCTGAGAAAGCAACTACTTTTTTGTTTTTATACACCTCAGGAAGTGACTTCTTTTCAAAAACTATTGGATTGGGTGCCTTCAACTAATGGCACAGCTGTATCTAGAACTGCATGTTGCAGATAGAAATATATGAATAGAGCACATACAATTTCTTATACTATTCCAATCTATCCGACAGCAGATCATATTTGATCTACACAATACATTTATATCTGAAACTTCTCTAAATGTACATTCTCCTGAATGTCCATTGCCCCAGGTGTAGATAATCAAGTCAAACCAATTTTGTACTGATAAGTATAAACAAGTTGTGACGCTCAACTACTGTATGACTATCAACATGCCACTGAAAAAGTCGAAAGCCGCAATTGATTTTATGATACCTGAAAATACTGCAGAGACATTCAAAGCCATTTGCAAACAGCAAGTTGGATGCTTAGCAAAAACTATTTTGAACCCCTTTTTCCATCTGAGGGTAAGTGTGCTTGTTTCAAACACACTATAACCATCTTTAAAGGGACAGTTTACACAGAATATAAACTAACATGATTTTCAACCTACCTTGGCTGTAGTTGATTCAAGAAGGCAGTTCTTACATTGTTTCCCCTTTCGACATTTAATAGCCAGATTTTGTTAACATTAAACTGTTCTTATGCCTGTGTAATAAAACAAATTACTTTTGGAGCAACATTTTATTAGCATGTTGTTAAATAACACTTTGATAATTGCATAGCAATGAGCTGAGAGTTTTTATAACTATGGTATTACTCTATTATGCACTTATAAAACAATTTCCAAAGTCCTACGTAACACCAATGTTGCTATTGTAATAATCAAAGTAACTACACATGTATAAGAACTTGATGTCAAGTGTTACTATATTACCTTATGTCTCACTCATTATGAAAATATATTTGTTAGTCATTTAGAAAATGCAAAAGTGGTCTACTCTAATGTTGAGATGATTCTATGTCCCTCGTATTTATTTCTAGGTGATATATTAAAATTCATATCTGAGAGCCCTCCAAACCATGTGTTAATAATGATCATACACTGAACACAAATATAAACGCAACAATTTCAAAGATTTGACTGAGTTACAGTTCATATAAGGAAATCAGTCAATTCAAATAAATTCACAAAATTTGAGAGAAATAAGTATTTTGTGCATATGGAAAATGTATTGGATGTTTTAATTCAGCTCATGAAACATGGGACCAACACTTTACATGTTGTGTTTATATTTTTGTTCAGTATATATTTATACTAATTCAAATAGCTGTTGTAGTTTTTGGTTCTTCAAATATTTGGCAGCCATCAAATAAATATGTTGGGATTTTCAAATAACTGTCATACAGTGCCTTCAGAAAGTATTCACATCCCTCGACTTTTACCACATAATTTGTGTTACTGCCAGAATTTTAAATTGATTAAATTTAGATTTTGTGTCTATGGCCTACACACTATACCCCATACATAATGTAAAAGCGGAATTATGTTTTTCAAAATGTTTGCAAATTAATAAAAAATAAATAGCAAAAATGTTTTGGGTCAATAAGTATTGCCCCTTTGTTATGGCAAGCCTAAATACGTTCAGGAGTAAACACCTACTTAACAAGTCACATAATTAGTTGCATGGACTCACTGTGTGCAATAATAGTGTTTAACATTATTTTTAAATGACTACCTCATCTCTGTACCCCACACATACAATTATCTGTAAAGTCCCTCAGTCGAGCAGTGAATTTCGAACACAGATACAACCAAAGACCAGAGAGGTTTTCCAATGCCTCGCGAAGAAGGGTGGGAATAAAAAAAGCAGACATTGAATATCCCTTTGAGCATTGGTAAAGTTATTAATTACACTTTGGATGGTGTCTCCAAATCTCCAAAGTGGCGCATCTCCTGAGTGGCGCAGTGGTCTAAGGCACTGCATCGCAGTGCTAACTGTGCCACTAGATCCTGGTTCGAATCCAGGCTCTGTCGCAGCCGGCCGCGACCGGGAGACTCATGGGCGGCGCACAATTGGCCAAGCGTCGTCCAGGGTAGGGAATGGCCGGCAGGGATGTAGCTCAGTTGATAGAGCATGGCGTTTGCAACGCCAGGGTTGTGGGTTCGATTCCCACGGGGGGCCAGTATAAAAAAAATATGTATTCACTAACTGTAAGTCGCTCTGGATAAGAGCGTCTGCTAAATGACTAAAATGTAAAATGTCAAATGTGTATTAATAAACCTAGTCACTACAGAGATACAGGTGTCCTTCCTAACTCAGTAAAACAGTTACAGAGTTTAATGGCTCTGATTGTAGTTACTCCACAATCCAAACCTAATTGACAGAGGGAAAAGGAAGGCTGTACAGAATAAAAATATTCCAAAACATGCATCCTGTTTGCAACAAGTCACTAAAGTAATACTGCAAAAAAATGTGGCAAAGCAATTCGCTTTTTGTCCTGAATATGTTATGTTTGGGGTAAATTCAATACAACACATTACTGAGTACCACGGTCTATATTTTCAAGGATAGTGATGACTGTATCATGTTATGGGTATGCTTGTAATCGTAATGGACTGGGGAGTTTTTCAGGATAAAAAAATTAACTGAATGGAGCTAAGCACAGGCAAAATTCTAGAGGAAAACCTGGTTCAGTCTGCTTTCCACCAGACACTGGGAGATTAATTAACCGTTCAGCAGGACAATAGGCCAAATCTACAGTGGAGTTGCTTACCAAGAAGACTGTGAATGTTTCTGTGGCCGAGTTACAGTTTTGACTTAAATCTTTGACAATCTATGGCAACACCAGAAAATGGTTGTCCAGCAATGATCAACAACCAGTTTGACAGAGCTTGAAGAATTTTGAAAAGAATAATGGGCAAATGTTGCACAATTCAGGTGTGGAACGCTCTTAGAGACTAACCCAGAAATACTCACAGCTGTAATTGCTGCTAAAGGTGATTCTAACATGTATCGACTCAGGGGGTTGAATACTTATCTAATCATTTTACATTTACATTTTAGTCATTTAGCAGACGCTCTTATCCAGAGCGACTTACAGTTAGTGAGTGCATACATTTTCATACTGGCCCCCCGTGGGAAACGAACCCACAACCTTTGCGTTGCAAGCGCCATGCTCTACCAACTGAGCTACAGGGGACTAATAATCAAGATACATGAGTTTATTTTGCATACATTTTTTACACATTTTAGAATTTTTCTTCCACTTCAGAGTATTTTGTGTAGATCGTTGACCAAAAAATGACAATTAAATCCATCTTAATCACACTTTGTAACAACAAAATGTGGAAAAAGTCAAGGGGTGTGAATACTTTCTGAAGGTACTCCTCTGAAAAGTATGCAAAATACTTTCAAATATTATTTGTTTTTCTGAGACCTGTATTTGAACAGCAAAGAAAATAATTGCCTTTGAAAACTCTGTTTTTGAAACTCTATATTCGACTACCTAGAGTATTTGAAAAGTTGGTATTTTAAAATAAACTGCAAAAGACAATTATTTTCTGCCCAGGTCTGTTTTTTACTGTCTGTGGGAATTGAGCTGTGTTTTTTGCAGGTAAATTCATTAACACTTGCATTGTTAAAGACCATTATAATTTGAATTTCAAACAGCCCCCATGGTTTAACAACCCAGCCCTTCCAAATTGCCGGTTATGCACTGATATGTACAAGAGGGGATACACCCCCCAAAAATGTTTTCAAGGGGCTGTTTAAACAAAGGTCATTTACCCTCTTTTAAAAAATGGTGTAAGTAAATGTATTGTTTGTGGGGAACGTAAAAACTGTATTAGATTACAGTATTGGATTTTATTTTATTTAACCTTTATTTAGGCAGGGGAGTCCCATTGATACCAATATCTATTTTTCAAGGGAGCCCTGCATGACAAGACCAAGCAATTACACAATCAAGGAAGGACCATAGGAAACACAAAGAAGTGGAGCGGGTCGAGAGTTTCAAGTTCCTTGGTGTCCACATCACCAACAAACTATCACTGTCCAAACACACCAAGTTCTACAGCTGCACCATCGAGAGCATCCTGAACGGTTGCATCACCACCTGGTATGGCAACTGCTCGGCATCTGACCGTAAGGCGCTACAGAGGGTAGTGTGTACGGCCCAGTACATCACTGGAGGCAAGCTTCCTGACATCCAGGACCAATATACTAGGCGGTGTCAGAGGAAGGCCCAAAAAATTGTCAAAGACTCTAGTCACCCAAGTCATAGACTGTTCTTGCTGCTACCGCACAGCAAGCGATACCAGAGCGCCAAGTCTAGGACCAAAAGGCCCCTTAACAGCTTCTACCCACCAAGCCATGCGACTGCTGAACAATTAATCAAATGGCCACCCGGACAATTTACATTGACCCCTCCCCTTTGTTTTTACACTGCTGCTACCCGCTGTTTATTATCTATGCATAGTCACTTTACAAATTGCCTCGACTAACCTGTACCCCCGCATATTGACTCGGTACCCCCTGTATATAGCCTCGTTATTGTTATGTAATTTTCTTGTGTTACTTTTTGATGTTATTTGATTTTTTGACTTTAGTTTATTTAGTCAATATTTTCTTAACTCTATTTCTTGAACTGCATTGTTGGTTAAGGGCTTGTAAGTAAGCATTTCACGGTAAGGTCTACACCTGTTGTATTTGGCGCATGTGACAAATAACATTTGATTTGAAAAGACAAAACACACAATAATAAAAAACAACTACTACTAAATCTGTAGTGACAGAAGGAATTTCAAGAGTTAGTCATCTCTGCGACAGGATATGGTAACTCATACTTCTATAGGTTAGTTACAATGTTAGGTAACACGGGAGTTTTAGCAAAAGGGCTTTATAAATAAACAGAATGAAATATTTTGACCTACGCAATGTCAAAGAGGGCCAGCCTACTTTCTGATAGGGAATGCAGTGATGAGTGCAAAACCTGTTGCCTGTGATAAAACAAAGTGCACTGCATCTAACGGCTTTAATGAAGTGGCAGCTGCAACAATGTAGATGATGTCGCCATAGTCTCGGACTGGTAGGAACGTCGACTGAATGATCTGCTTTCTACAATTAAGTAAGAGGCATGACCTATTTCTATAGAAGTCCAGTTTTATTCTCAGCTTCTTAGTTATCCAAATGTCCAGATATTTGTAAGCAGGGACATGATCAATTTGGGCACTATCCAATGTACATATGCTTACATCTTAAGAGTCATTGTAGAGCGCTCTAGAAAACAACATATACTTTGTTTTTCCCGTATTTTAATTTTAGGTCAATTAGTATATTTTTGTAATACAATGAAAGCAGTCTGTAGGTCAGCTAGAGCCTGGTCCACGGTGGAGGGGAATAGAATACGCAACAGTAACATCGGCATACTGGTGCAGTTTACAATTATTCACTGACAAACCAATATTGTTAATGTAGATAGTAAAAAGTACTGCACCCAGAATCAGCCCTTGCGGAACACCTTTTGTTACATTAAGGAAACTTAACTGAACACCATCAATAGACACACATTGTGTTAGATCTGTCAAGTCGTTTTTTAAAGGAAAGGTTCACACATTTTGAATGTTATATTGTTTCTGTGCATTTCTGTTCTATCGATTCCCTGGGTTTCATGTGTATCTGAGTTATTGGCGTTCAAGCAGGCAGAAATCCGGCCGGTATGATGTAGCACTGTGATTAAGTCCCTCTCACTACACTGGAAGTTAATAGGAATATGACATTTAGATTGCGAAAACGTCTATCGTAGATGTCAGATTTCAATACTGGCCGATGTCATAACTTGGGAGGATGTCTTCTCTCGAATGAGCCATTGATCATATTTTTGTGATATGCCTACCTCGAGAAATGTGTAATTTAACAGAGGGTCTAGCAAATTTTTCATATTTGTCTGCCTCTTTAGTACAGGGTCCATTGCATGGTGCCGTTGCCAGAGATGTATTGTGCCTCACGCACATCAATCTGCAGGTTGAACATGGTGAGATTGTAGACTCCTAAATTGATAGTGCAGTTTGTTTAGGCAATTTTACAGCTAACTAGCTACTTTACATGCTGATATTGTCTTTAGTATTATTGTGTGTAGCTACGTTTGCTAGCTAGCTAGCCAGCCCATAGAGTCGACTTGAGCTGCAACAGATTTCCACAATTTTCCATGTTGCTACCAACCTTATTATAACGCCAAAATGAAACATTTGTTCACAAAAAATGTTGTTCTCACATAGTGTTATTTAACACTGTAAATTAAAAAGGAATTAATGGTTTTGGGTGGATTTTTCTTTAAACCAATTGCAAGTGGCCTGACCTAAGCCAATTGAAGTTAGCCTCTGAATCAGCAGTGAATGATCAACAGTGTAAAATGCCTTGGAAAGGTCTAGAAAGACGGCAGCACAATGTTGTCTCTTATATATACAATTTACTACATAATTTACTACATGGGATGCAGCAGAGATGGTGCTATGTCCTGGTCTAAAACCAGACTGATGAACATTCTGGATACATTTCATAGATAAGATCATAGCTGAGAATTAATGAAGGATTCTAATATTTTTGCTAGGCAAGAATGTTTTGAAATAGGGCAATAGTTATTTATCACTGTTTGTTCTTATCAGAGGTGTGGTCTTTAGCACAGTAGCAACATTATTCATTCGGTTGCACATTTTGAGGCAACATTGACATGCATGATCTCTAGCTTTTTCCCAATCAAGTATTTACATAGAATGTTGATAACAGACCCACTTACTTTATTCTGAAGATGGCAGTTAACCAGGAACAGAAGCCCTGCAGTGTAGACATGCACAATACAAAAATCAGACATTTGAAATATATGCAGTTTAAAACAAAATTTGCAGTTCAAAACATGATTAGTCGGCAGTCACATTTTCAAAGGTGTTTTCATAACAGCTGAAATTACATCAACACATGGAGATTTAAAAAAAATAAAAAATTCCACACAATCAATCAAATAAATGTATGTATAGCGGTGGCCCAAACGTGATGTGAGTTTTAGTGAACAGACAGGGAGAGTAGAGGAAGAGCCCTAGCCTACCAGCTGGGATTCAAAGGCTAGGAGGTAGAAAGAGATAACATGGACTTGATTTGACCTCCTAGGGTGATTACAGTGCTACGTATGACTCAGGGATATGGTATGGAGTTGCATAGAATGTTCTTGAGGGACATTGGTGTGTGGATAACTGACGGGTTTAGCTTTAGCTTATATTTCTGTAATACAGTCACAAGTTGTTTGGACTAAAGGACAATTTGTCTATGAGTGTCTGTTCCACACACTGGGGCATTTCACCCTAAGGATATTAATTCAAACTATCACCATATATAATATTGTGTTGCATTAGTTGGAAGAGTCAAGAGAGATAAGGAGATAAGTCTCCCTTATAATAAAACATATATGTACTGTATCTATAAGGGGTGGGGAGTCTCCATCAGGAGTCACTAAGTGGAAATCTGTGTCTGGCGGACAGGTCCCCTCCCCACCCCACCTGACTCCACCCACATCCAAGGCTGGCAACCAGTGGCTTTGCAGTCCTCTGCTTATCCTGCATTATTTAACAGGGATGGGAGGCAAAGCCAATGGAGTCGTTTAAAGAGATGCACGTGTGACCAGTAGGAGACAACCTCAGTGGTGGGGAGACATTCGGAGGGAGGAGGGAGGGATTTCTCACGTTATCCCGTTGATCGAAGTCGACAGAGCTGGAGACTGAAGTGAGACGCTCATAGCGGTCTGGCGTTTCAGAATGCAGAGCTGAGGCAACACTGGAAAAAGAGGACAAGTGTCAGGCTTTGACGGAGGCACGAAGAACAAAGCAGGACCGGGTCCTGCAACTGTTTGTTTGTTAATTTGTGGTTTGAAACAGAACGGAATTGAGGTTAGAGGAATTTCTTCACAATTAAAATGAACAGTACTGTCACAGCTAATGGGGTCGATTCCTTTTAAATTCCATCAATTCAGAAAGTAAACAGAAAATTTAAATTGGAATGTCAGTTAACTTCCTTAAAACATTTCAATGGAATTGACCCCAACCCACATTTTGTTTCACTACTGCATATTTATCATAAAAAATGCCCTTTTATTAATTAACCCATAACAGTTCCTCAATAATGTCCGTAGAACCATGCCATTTCGTGTCTATTTTATTGTCAGTTTGATAAACTCTCCATCTCTCTGAGGGTCTAACATGACATATTCAAGATCCCAACATCCTCAGCAGAATTACTGGCCAATCAAGCATTGCGGAGTGTAGAGCAGAGCTCTGAGTTGGTACGCACAGAGGTGTCAATCAGAAAATAGTTCATTTAGTCATTGACACATGACATAATCCTACATATTTTTGACTTTTTACTGTAGATACTATGCACTAACAAAACCACACAACATTTCACTTGAACTCCCCACTCCAAGGCCAACATCAAGAAGGCTGCTATGTGAAAAGACATAATAGATGTCGAGCTCCACAAGTTCAACATTAGTAGCTACACAAATGTCAAACTCGTGGGGCTGGACAGATGTCTAGATAATGGTTTGTGTCATGACTGTAAAGTCTGATAGCGTCAGCCAACAGCGTAATGACGGTTTATGACATCTGCCTTGTCAGGGAGGTGTCAAGTAAAGGGTTACCCCTCACTCTATAGGACAAGAGACATACACAGTGTGCAACTCAGACCAACACAACTCTGGCTGAGGGTGCCCCAAGTATGCCAAACATCCAGACAATAAGGTAGGCATCATTGAGGGTACCCTCAAGCCAAATAATGGTTATGTGCTAGCAGTATAATTTTCAGACAGAAGAAAGGCTTTTAACGATCTATGTTGGCCACCACTGCATTGTGCTGCCCAACATGCCTGAGGAAATACACTATATATACAAAAGTATGTGGACACCCCTGCAGATTTACTTTTTTACATTTTAGTCATTTAGCAGACGCTCTTATCCAGAGCGACTAACATTTAGTGAGTGAATACATTTTTCATACTGGCCCCCCGTGGGTATCGAACCCACAACCCTGGCATCGCAAACGCCATGCTCTACCAACTGAGCTACACGGGGCCAGGAGAATGCTACCTGCCCCAATGCATAGTGCCAACTGTAAAGTTTGGTGGAGGAGTAATAATGGTCTGGGGCTTTTCATTGTTCGGGCTAGGCCCCTTAGTTCCAATGAAGGGAAATCTTAACACTACAGCATACAATGACATTCTAACAGATTCTGTGCTTCTAACTTTGTGGCAACAGTTTGGGGAAGGCCCTTTCCTGTTTCAGCATGACAATGCCCTCGTGCACAAAGCGAGGTCCATACAGAAATGTTTTGTCGAGATCGGTGTGGAAGAACTTGACTGGCCTGCACAGAGCCCTGACCTCAACTCCATCGAACACCTTTGGGATGAATTGGAACGCCAACTGCGAGCCAGGCCTAATCGCCCAACATCAGTGTCCAACCTCACTAATGCTATTGTGGCTGAATGGAAGCAAGTCCCTGCAGCAAAGTTCCAACATCTGGTGGAAAGCCTTCCCAGAAGGCTCCATATTAATACCCATGATTTTGGAATGAGATGTTCGACGAGCAGGTGTCCACATACTTTGGTCATGTAGTGTACTATCTTTGATATGCATAATCTCATTTTGTGATTAGAGCTCCACTGAGCAATTGACAGGACAAAGGAGGCAGTGTCTTTTGCATTAAATGCCAAGAGCCCTATTCAATTCAACCTATTAACTGTCTTCTCAGCATGAGCAATTATCATTTAAAATGCTACAAGAAATCCTGTAAAAAAAAAAATTATATATATATACAGTCATGGCCAAAATTGTTGGCACCCCTGAAATTTTTCCAGAAAATGAAGTATTTCTCACAGAAAAGTATTGAAATTACACATGTTTTGCTATGCACATGTTTATTTCCTTTGTGTGTATTGGAATAACACAAAAAAAACAGGAAAAAAACAAATTTGACATAATTTCACACAAAACTCAAAAAATGGGCCGGACAAAATGATTGGCACCCTTAACTTAATATTTAGTTGCACACCCTTTGGAAAAAATAACTGAAATCATCTGCTTCCTATAACCATCAATAAGCTTCTTACACCTCTCACCCGGAATTTTGGACCACTCTTCTTTTGCAAACTGCTCCAGGTCTCTCATATTGGATGGGTGCCTTTTCCCAACAGCAATTTTAAGATCTCTCCACAGGTGTTCAATGGGATTAAGATCTGGACTCATTGCTGGCCACTTCAGAACTCTCCAGCGCTTTGTTGCCATCCATTTCTGGGTGCTTTTTGAAGTATGTTTGGGGTCATTGTCCTGCTGGAAGACCCATGATCTCGGACGCAAACACAGCTTTCTGACACTGGGCCCTACATTGCGACCCAAAATCCTTTGGTAATCCTCAGATTTCATGATGCCTTGCACACAGTCAAGGCACCCAGTGCCAGAGGCAGCAAAACAACCCCAAAACATCTTTGAACCTCCACCATATTTGACTGTAGGTACTGTGTTCTTTTCTTTGAAGGCTTCATTACATTTTCGGTAAACAGTAGAACGATGTGCTTTACCAAAAAGCTCTATCTTGGTCTCATCTGTCCATAAGACGTTCTCCCAGAAGGAATTTGGCTTACTCATGTACATTTTGGCAAACTGTAGTCTTGCTTTTTTATGTCTCTGTGTCAGCAGTGGGGTCCTCCTGGGTCTCCTGCCATAGCGTTTCATTTCATTCAAATTTCGACGTATAGTTCGCGCTGACACTGATGCACCCTGAGCCTGCAGGACAGCTTGAATTTCTTTGGAACTTGTTTGGGGCTGCTTATCCACCATCCGGACTATCCTGCGTTGCAACCTTTCATCAATTTTTCTCTTCCGTCCACGTCCAGGGAGATTAGCTACAGTGCCATGGGTTGCAAACTTCTTGATCATGTTGCGCACTGTGGACAAAGGAACATCTAGATCTCTGGAGATGGACTTGTAACCTTGAGATTGTTGATATTTTTCCACAATTTTGGTTCTCAAGTCCTCAGACAGTTCTCTTTTCCTCTTTCTGTTCTCCATGCTTAGTGTGGCACACACAGAAACACAATGCAAAGACTGAGTCAACTTCTCTCCTTTTTATCTGCTTTCAGGTGTGATTTTTAGATTGCCCACACCTGTTACTTGCCCCAGGTGAGTTTAAAGGAGCATCACATGCTTGGAACAAACTTATTTATCCACAATTTTGAAAGGGTGCCAATAACTTTGTCCGGCCCATTTTTTTAGTTTTGTGTGAAATTATGTCAAATTTGCTTTTTTCCTGTTTTTTTTTGTGTTATTCCAATACACACAAAGGAAATAAACATGTGCATAGCAAAACATGTGTAATTTCAATACTTTTCTGTGAGAAATACTTCATTTTCTGGAAAAATTTCAGGGGTGCCAACAATTTTGGCCATGACTGTATATATATATATATATATATATATAATATATATATAATAATAATAATAATAATAATAATAAGCCATTTAGCAGACGCTTTTATACAGTCATGCGTGCATACATTTTTGTGTATGGGTGGTCCCGGGGATCGAACCCACTACCTTGGCGTTACAAGCGCCGTGCTCTACCAGCTGAGCTACATATATATATATATATATATATGGAAACTCAAGGCCAGGCACCACGGGCTAATGACAGTTTCCAGAAAAATGGATTTACAGGATATGCAAATATGTGCATATTTAATTATATAGAGTACCACAGTATTGTCTCCCGAGTGGCCCAGTGGTCTAAGGCACTGTATTGCAGTGCTAGCTGTGCCACTAGAGATCCTGGTTCGTATCCAGGCTCTGTCGTAGCTGGCCGTGACCGGGAGACCCATGGGGCGGCGCACAATTGGCCCAGCGTCGTCCAGGATAGGGGAGGGAATGGCCGGCAGGGATGTAGCTCAGTTGGTTGAGCATGGCGTTTGCAACGCCAGGGTTGTGGGTTCAATTCGCACGGGGGGCCAGTTAAAAAAAAATAATAAAAAAAATAAAAAAATATATTATATATATATATATATATATAAAATACAAAAATAATGATGTATGCACTCACTAACTGTAAGTCGCTCTGGATAAGAGTGTCTGCTAAATGACTAAAATGTAAAAAAAATGTACATGTATGAGTCATAATACCCATAAAACCTAGAGGTCAATCAGGGAAATGGTTCCAATAATTTTTCCACCATAGATTTTTCCCATAGGGGATGTAGAGACACTTAAAGTAAGGGCTGTGTTTCATGTAGGCTTAACCTGGCATGAGGTTTTGATAACCATGTAAATCTCTTTAGGACAATGTGATTTCCATCAATATATTTGCCTGTATTTACCCCCCCAAAAAAGAAATGCTAATTAGCTGCAAATGTGGCTATCATAAAGAACTACAAATGCCATGATCTGGACGAGCATGCCGAATCGAGGCAAAGGTAAGAATGTCTGGATTAACCATCTAATGTTAGCTAAATGTAGTAATGAATAAATTGGCAACATTTCTTTAAAATTGACAGTTCAGTGAACTGTCTTGTGCATATTGACACAATACCTTTTAGCAAAGGTGTCAACTAGAGATAACTTGCAGGAGCTTGCGGGGATTTGTAGTTTTGCATGATGTCTACTTTCATGCTAATTAGCATTTTCTAATCAGAGTAAATAGAGCCGAATATATTGATAAAAATCACCTTGTCCGAGAGAGATTTACATGGTTATCAAAACGTCACGCCATGGTAAGCCTACATGAAACACATCCCCTATTTTAAGTGTTTCTAAAATCCCCTATGGGAAAAATTAACGGTAAAAAAAACGATTGGAACCATTTCCCTGTTTGACTGCTAGGTTTTATGGGTATTATGACACCTCCACTGTGGGGCTCTACAGCCTAGGTGATTGTGATTAAGGGGCAAAAAATACACTATTAGTGTGGTGCCTGGCCTCAACAACAACAGTATTACTCCATAATTTCTTGAAGGCTAGGATTTGTTTTGACATATTCCGGAAAGCCAGTTAGCGATTTTGAATAGGGCCCAAAGTCTACAAATAGGTTGCGTTTTACCTGCAGCACTGGGTGTATATTGTAATCTCCCACCCTTACATCCTACAACAGAAGATCTACCACAGTCCAACAATAAACTTAGTCCAATGACATGTACAGAAATGGGGGCAGTATACATTTCACTGTCAGGACAGAAGACCACATTCCACTTTCTAGCTGGATTCCAATCTGAAAACAGTCCTTTCCTCTTCCTTTATTGACCCCTTCATGGCCCTGAATGGACAGAGGGGAAGGGGTGATTTTTTGAATGAGAACCCAGCCTGTTGAGAACGTGGCTTCTTATGGTCTAAAAAAGGGTCCACTCTGGGAGGTGCTAGCATCACAGCTAATGTCACAAGGATTCACAAAGACGCCACAGCAAGAGGGCCTAGGGAAGTTCACATCCACACTGATGCACCTTTTACCTTGTATTATTTGCTCTCAGTGTATCATAGTTACCCTTTTCTCTTCTCCGACTATGTTATATTCAAATGTGTAAAAGGAAGCATGCATGTCAAAAGATTCATATGTTAGGTGACAGTCAAAGCATCAGAAGCCATGGCAGATACACTGGTGAAAGTCAACAGTATGGTTATTGACACACAATGCACTTATGGTGGGTTAACAAAGGTCAGAGTCGACACCCAATAAATCCACAGCAAAAAGCAGTGACAGAGCCCTCACACCAAACCATCTTGCTTGTTAATAAGATAGATACACATACACCTTCTTTCTCACACACACCAACCCACAGGACACCCGATTTTGGGGTTGATTCCAGTCCATTCTGGAATTGGATTGCAAGCACGCACGCACACACACACACACACCTATCCGAAAGGGAAAAACAGTGTGTTAGTCCACCAGTGAGCAGGACAACAAGTACAGTTAGGGCAGTAAAGCAACCAGGGAAGAGAGAAGACGCTGGAAAACAAGGAGATAATCAAAACGTGTTTAAAAAACAACATACTATTCCCGCTCCTCCAATCCGCTGAAACGCTTCTTCGATCTTCACAGTGAAACAAAAAAAGAGGAAACATTAGCAAAACTGGCATGAAAAGGAGTACACATTTACTTCATTAAGGTTAGTCCTGGATAGAAATCCTGAAGTGTCAACAAATTGGATGTTACACAATGTATAGGAGCAGGACAGGTTTATGAGAGCCATAGGCGGGGTGAGGATGAGGGGCGAACCATCACATAACGTGGGCCCTGATCAGATGTCACCCCCCATCCCCTCACCCTACACGCACACTAACACACACACACACACACACCAACTGCGACACTGGTGACCCCTGCCTCATCACAGCTCTGAAAGAGAGAGCCCCTGAAAGCAAGAAAACAGCTGTGTTTGTGTGTGTATGTGTCTGTTACTGCTGAGCAATTAACAAAAATGTTAACTCAATGCGCCGTTTCTCTTTCCCGCCCAAAATGTGTTTGCTTGCAGAGCAGCGTTGCTGTGTGAGCCAGGCAGTGGAGAGTTACAGCAGCGCTGTGCAATACGCGACCATATGGCCGACGCAGGTGGTGACTCCACTTCTGTCAGCGGCGTAATTTTTTGGAAAGCTGGGAAACTTTTTTTGGCTATGAACCCAGCATGAACCGGCAGAAATTCGCCAATTGGTTGATTCAATTCATCGATTGACCAGGGGAACATGACCACACACAGACCGCATGAGAGGAAGTAAAGTAGTGAATAAATTAAGTGATAAGCAGTAAAATGGGCAGTCACTACCATCATGGGGCTTTTATTAGCTAATTGTATTATTCTGTGTAGTTACAAAAAAAAAAAAATTCTAACCGAAATTGAAAACCGTGATTATTTTTCAAAAACCAAACTGAAACCAACCTCAAAAAGCATTAATCGCTCAGCACTAGTGTGTGTGTGTGTGTGTGTGTGTGTGTGTGTGTGTGTGTGTGTGTGTGTGTGTGTGTGTGTGTGTGTGTGTGTAGGGAGCGACAAGGGAGAGCGAGAGAGCGGGACAGACAAGAAAACAGGAAGTATGTGGCGCAAAATAGATTTTCCAGTCAGCTGTGGGACTATAGCAGGAAATGGTTTGCCCCTCTCTCTCTGTCCTTTAAATGAATGGGAGGACAGAACTATTTCAGAAAGGCAAAGGACACAAAGCACTTAGAAAGCTCGTACATCCTATCGATAAGCAGACCAAGGTCACCTTAAAATAACCAAATAAGTCTTAAACTATTATTGTACTTAAAGCGGCCATCAAGGATTGGTACACAGTAAATCAAGGAGAGTTGAAATCACGGTGTTAAAATTGTTTGGGTTAAATTTACTCTACTTGAGTTATCTGAACCCTCAGAGTGATACGCTCTCTGGAGTTAGTTGGGACGGAGTACTTTTAACTCAATTAAGAGTAACCAGAGACATGGAGTTACATTTGGGAGGGGCCTCATTGTCATATTTCCCAGCATGCTCCGTTGCAGGTAGATTTCATTAGAATAGTTTATTTTAATATCTGTATTTTTGCATGTACATTGATTGTTTACAATCATTCATTTTTTTAACTTTCTGCTCTGACAGGCTTTCTGAATGCAAGTCGTAATCCATTATAAATAATTAATTATGTAATAATAATAATAATAATAATAATAATAATATGTGGAGTAATTATAAAGTGCTACCAAATATTTTTACAAACTAATTTGTTGTGGCAGTTCTGAAAATCTTGTCTAAGCCTGTGTCTGGTTGGCCAAGGCCAACTCTCTCAATCTTGTGCAAAAGTGACCATGCAGCAAGTATGGAGCTGAGCAGTACAGTCAAAAAAATTTCGACTGCATCGCAGTGTAATGAGTTATAGCATCAAGGTAGGGGTACCTTACAGTAAGTTTATGACTTCAATCAGTAGGCATATAGCCATTTGTACATTAATATTCTTAGTGAATGACTGATTCAGTACTCAAGGAGTTCGAAACTTGTTATTTCTCTTCTTAATTGCACTGCAACAGATCATGTACATTCAAGGTGATGGATTTAATACAACAATAAAATACAGTAAGTATGCTAACTAGTTATACATTCTTTCCATATTTATTACCAACATACCCAAACCATAGATTACTCATAATTGATAAAGAAGTATCCCATGGGGTTATGGTAATAAACTGGTGAAAAGAAGATTCCCTAAAGAAGATTTATTTGCTCTGCTGTGTGAGCAAATCCTGCTGCACAGACAGTCGTTGTTCATATCCAGCTCCAGAAATGAGTAGTATGTAAGTGACAGTGAAACAAGTCTCCCTGAATGACTTGCAAACCAATCATCTTCAGGAAGAGGTAGGAAGGAATGGTTATGGGGTTACTTAAGGCACACTGTCATAATAGGCAAGTAATTCTCACAGTTCAACAGACAAGGACCAATGACCAGTAGGACTACATCTGGGCAGTGTACGTGTGTGTGTGTGATGTAACACCTCAGAGTAATTTGTTAGACCTACCTGTCAGCGTCTGTCACCAATGCCAAGCGTCCATAATCCCAGGCCACTTTCCGCAATATTGAGAAGACAAAGAGAAGCACCTGAAAGCACAGAGGAAGGTAATGCTGTATGATTTTCATCTTCTTTGGTGTTTTTCGATTGAGCCCCAAGAACATCTGTGTATCATTCAAATGGATTTTATAGCAATGTCACTGCTGTTCTAAAAAAAAATTGTAAGACCAGTAAGCACTTAGAGTGGGTCCCATATTCCTAGTACGCAATGACTACATGAAGCTTATGACTACAAACTTCTTGGACGCATTTGCAGTTCGTTTAGGCTGCAATTCAGATAATTTTGTGCCCAATAGAAATTAATGGTAAATTATGTATTGTGCTCATTTTGGAGTCATTGTAAATAAGAATAGAATAATGTGTTTCTAAACACTTCTACATGAATGTGAGTGAGAAAGTTAGAGGGTCAAAGATCATACCCCCAAGACATGCTAACCTCTCACCATTACCAATAAACAGTGGAGGTTCTATTCTTATTTACAATAAAATGGACACCAAAACAACAAATTATTTGCCATTCACTTCTACTGGGCACAAAATTATCTGAAACACAACCAAAACAAAACTTTTGACTACTTTATTTATAAGAATCTTTAGGGGTGTCACTATTTTGACCCCTACCTTTTTGAGAAATACTAAATGTTACAGAAAATCTCTGAGCAATTGTATTAGTATAAAATAATACAATTTACCATTTGTTTGCATTCAATATAGCTCAGTATTTGAATTACAGTACCAGTCAAAAGTTTGGACACCTACTCATTCCAGGGTTTTTCTTTATTTGTACTATTTTCTACATTGTAGAATAATAGTGAAGACATCAAAACTATGAAATAACACATATGGAATCATATAGTAACCAACAGTGTTAAACAAATCAAAATATATGTTATATTTGAGATTCTTCAAATAGCCACCCTTTGCCTTGATGACAGCTTTGCATACTCTTGAAATTCTCTCAACCAGCTTCATGATGTAGTCACCTGGAATGCATTTAATTAACAGTGTGCCTTGTTAAAAGTTAATTTGTGGAATTTCTTTCCATCTTAACGCGTTTGAGCCCATCAGTTGTGTTGTGACAAGGTAGGGGTGGTATACAGAAGATAGCCCTTTTTGGTAAAAGACCAAGTCCATTTTATGGCAAGAACAGCTCAAATAAGCAAAGAGAAATGACAGCCATCATTACTTTAAGACATGAAGGTCAGTCAATACGAAACATTTCAAGAACTTTGAAAAGTTTCTTCAAGTGCAGTCGCAAAAATTATCAAGCGCTATGATGAAACTGGCTCTCCTGAGGACTGCCACAGAAAAGGAAGACCCAGAGTTGCCTCTGCTGCAGAGGATAAGTTCATTAGAGTTAACTGCACCTCAGATTGCATCCCAAATAAATGCTTCAGAGTTCAAGTAACATACACATATCAACATCAACTGTTCAGAGGAGACTGCGTAAATCAGGCCTTCATGGTCTAATTGCTGCAAAGAAACCACTACTAAAGGACACCAATAAGAAGAAGAGACTTGCTTGGGCCAAGAAACACGAGCAATGGACATTAGACCGGTGACATTTTGTCCTTTGGTCTGGAGTCCAAATAGGAGATTTTTGGTTCCAACCGCCGTGTCTTTGTGAGATGCAGAGTAGGTGAACGTGTGATCTCTGCATGTGTGGTTCCCTCAGTGAAGCATGGAGGAGTAGGTGTGATGGTGTGGGTGTGCTTTGCTGGTAACATTGTCAGTGATTTATTTAGAATTCAAGGCACACTTAACCAGCATGGCTACCACAGCATTCTGCAGCGATACTCCATCCCATCTGGTTTGGGCTTAGTGGGACTATAATTAGTTTTTCAACAGGACAATGACCCAACACACATCCAGGCTGTGTAAGGGCTATTTGACCAAGAAGGAGAGTGATGGAGTGCTGCATCAGATGACCTGGCCTCCACAATCAACCGACCTCATCCCAATTGAGATGGTTTGGGATGAGTTGGACCGCAGAGTGAAGGAAAAGCAGCCAACAAGTGCTCAGCGTATGTAGGAACTCCTTCAAGACTGTTGGGAAAGCATTCCAGGTGAAGCTGGTTGAAAGAATGCCAAGAGTCTGCAAAGCTGTCATCAAGGCAAAGGGTGGCTACTTTTAAGAATCTAAAAACACTTTTTTGGTTATTACATGATTCCATATGTTTTATTTCATAGTTTTGATGTCTTCACTATTATTCTACAATGTAGAAAATAGTAAAAAAATAAAGAAAAACCCTTGAATGAGTAGGTGTGTCCAAACTTTTGACATGTACTGTATGTATTTTATACAGTCATTATTGCTCATCTTTATCAAGGGTGTAAATAATTTCAGACCCCACTTCACATTATATGAGGTAGATGTAGTATTAGTGGATGACAATAGAAAGGAGCAACATTGGTGCTTAATTCTAAAAGGGTAATTTAAAAATGTAAAAGTATGAAAAGGCCAGCACTCATGTCACTCAGTTTTCAGACTCCAAAAATGATTCAGTTTTGCATATTTATTTAACATTTTCATTATGCTGACAAAGACGCGAGTAATAATATGAAATAAATTGATTAAACTATCTGGCCTTTTCATCTGTTCATTGTGTTATGATATCATGTCCATGTTGTTAGTATATTTTATTTAACCAGGAATAGAGAGACCATTGAAGTTAGAAACCTCTTTTGGGAGGGGGACCTGCTATATGCTGCTTTATGAGCATCAACGTGACATTGTCCTGTGAAACAAAATCCTTGAGAGACATGGATCTTTGAGGGCACAGGCACACATTACGACATTTCTTTGGAACACTTATTCGGTTACCAGACCCTGTCATTTTGGGTGAAAACGCATTCTGGACACATATATTTCATAGATGTAAAGTTATAGATAATGCTTACCAACGCACAGCCATAACCCACCACTTTGTGACCTTGGCTGCCCAGTAAAATGTTACAATAAATCTGGATTTGAGCATTTGAAGAGATGAGCATGAGGCCATGTGAATGTAGACATGTTCATTCATGCACTGAGACAGTTCTCTTACTCATACACCTAACCTGAGACAATAAGTATTGAGACAATAAGCATTGATTCATTACTTTGTTAATTTACTTTGCAGATTAGTTAATACCTTCCTTACTTTTATCTCATGGCCTTAAATTCAATTGGCAAGCATACATTAAAAAGACAACAGGAGGTGAGGTGACCCCCAATGACACAGTACAGCTTCATTTGAATAACGCCCCTACTAGACAGTCAGCCACTATGTAGGTCAATCCATTGTTCCCGTGGTCACGAAGCACTATGGATTTTACTATCAATTAGTCATGAACAGGAGCATCCTGTTCCACACCAGTACTACAGCCAAACCTTTAGGACTGGTAAAACAAAATGGTACCATTGAACTCACCGACTTGTCCAATTTGACTTTAATAAGATTCAATAAGATTTGTCAAACCATACCCTTCCTCCCCTGAAATCGGGGACTGATTCAGACCTAAATGACAAGGACACAAAGTTGAATGGACTCAGACCAATCAATGACATCAATCAATTAACATCCAGGGAGAAAATAAAACCAACACTACTGACGAACTTACTGGTCTGGATTTGAAGAGCCCTATTCACCTTTTGTAGGCCCGCCAAATTGACCTGAGCCATTTTGAACGCATTTGTCTTTCAAATTCCTGCGCATTAACACACAAGCAAACCTAGGGAGGAGAAGTCATTAAATATGAATTACATGTGTTAAAACTATTACATAACATGTAGAGTTTGAAAGATATGGTAAATCTCTGGTGAGAAAAATAAATAATTAACCTGTATTTTCGCATAGTATAAGCACTCAGAAGCAGATGTTAGCATGTAAGCATTCCCATAGACTTAACATGGCAGGGTAGTTAGCTAGTTTATTCGATTATCTAATAGTCATCATCCATACATGCTTTATCCCTTTTCAATCAAAGATCAAGAATTGAAAGGGCAATGCGGTTGGACAATGAAAAAAGACAAAAAACTAAATGTTTTTATGTAGATAACATTAGGATATTTGCAATCTGATGTGCCACAAAGCTAACTAGCCAACCCACCATGTTAAGTCTATGGGAATGCCAACGTCGGCTTCCGAGTGCTTACGTGAAAACACACCATATCTTTCAAATTCTGTACACGTTCTTTAGTTGTTTTGACAAATATATATCATATTTAACTAATTCTCCCTGTGTTTTAATGCGCCGGACGTTGATAGACGATCGCAAGAAATATGACCGCACCCTTGTTGCCTGGCTACATAAGGTGAATAGTACACTAATCAGGGTTGGGGTCATTCCATTTGATTCAGTCAGTGAATGAGATACATTGAAATTCGAATTGAATAATTTATAAGCAACATTTATGTTCTATGAGGGTTTTTCTGTCAAATTTTTAAGTGGAATTTCTATTTGCTTTTTGAATTGACTGGAAGTTAACACTGCTTGAGACACCTTGCCATTTTGGAGACAGTGTCTCCAGCAATGTTAACTTTTTTTCTATGACGCCTCCACTTTTCAAGCGTATTCCATCACAATTACAGTTTGTGAAAAAAAAGCTAGATGAAATTCCACTTAAAGCTTTTACAGAAAAACCCTCATAAAAAATACATGTTGCTTATAAATTCTTGAATTTGAATTTCAATTTCTCTCATGCACTGACAATCAAATGGAATGACCAACCCTGATTAGTGTACTATTCACCTTATGTAGCCAGGCAACAAGGGTGCAGTCATTTTTGTTGCGATTGTCATTCAACTTCCGGCACATTAAAACACAGGGAGGAGATGTCGTTAAATTAATTAATAAATACAAATAAAAATAATATAATGACTAAGCAAAAACTGTTTTATCAAAATGTTTGCTAATTTATATTTAAAAATAATATCACATTTACATAAGTATTCAGACCCTTTACTCAGCACTTTGTTGAAGCACCTTTGGCAGCGATTACAGCCTTGAGTCTTATTGGGTACGACGCTACAAGCTTGGCACACCTGTATTTGGGGAGTTTCTCCCATTCTTCTCTGCAGATCCTCTCAAGCTCTGTCATGTTGGATGGGGTGCGCTGCTGCACAGCTATTTTCAGGTCTCTCCAGAGATGTTAGATCGGGTTCAAGTCCGGGCTCTGGCTGGGCTACTCAAGGACATTGAGACTTGTCCCGAAGCCACTCCTGCGTTGTCTTGGCTGTGTGCTTAGGGTCGTTGTCCTGTTGGAAGGTGAACCTTTGCCCTAGTCTGAGGTCCTGAGTGCTCTGGAGCAGGTTTTCATCAAGGATCTCTCTGTACTTTGCTCCGTTCATATTTGCCTCGATCCTGACTAGTCTCCCAGTCCCTGCCGCTGAAAAACATCCCCACAGCATGATGCTGCCACCGCCATGCTTCACTGTAGGGATGGTGCCAGGTTTCCGCCAGACATGATGCTTGGCATTCAGGCCAAAGAGTTCAATCTTGGTTTCATCAGACCAGATAATCTTGTTTCTCATGGTCTGAGAGTCTTAAGGTGCCTTTTGGCAAACTCCAAGCGGGCTGTCATGTGCCTTTTACAGAGGAGTGGCTTCCATCTGGCCACTCTACCATAAAGGCCTGATTGGTGGAGTGCTGCAGAGATGGTTGTCCTTCTGGAAGGTTCTCCCATCTCCACAGAGGAACTCTGGAGCTCTGTCAGAGTGACCATCGGGTTCTTGGTCACCTCCCTGACCAAGGTCCTTCTCCCTCGATTGCGCAGTTTGGCCGGGCGGTCAGCTCTAGGAAGAGTCTTGGTGGTTCCAAACTTTTTCCATTTAAGAATGATGGAGGCCACTGTGTTCTTGGGGACCTTCAATGCTGCAGAAATGTTTTGGTACCCTTCCCCAGATCTGTGCCTCGACACAATCCTGTCTCGGAGCTCTACGGACAATTCCTTCGACCTCACGGCTTGGTTTTTGCTCTGACATGCACTGTCAACTGTGAGACCTTATATAGACAGGTGTGTACCTTTCCAAATCATGTCCAATCAATTTAATTTACCACAGGTGGACTCCAATCAAGTTGTAGAAACATCTCAAGGATGATCAATGGAAACAGGATGCACCTGAGCTCAATTTCGAGTCTCATTGCAAAGGGTCTGATTACTTATGTAAATAAGGTATTTATGTTTATTTGTTATATATTTGCCCAAAAATCTAAAAACCTGTTTTCGCTTTGTCATTATGGGGTATTTTGTGTAGATTGCTGAGGAAAATGTTTTATTTAATCCATTTTAGAATAAGGCTGTAACGTAACAAAATGAATACTTTCCGAAGGCACTGTATACATACGTACTGTATATATACACACACACAGATATACATATAAACACACACATAGACATATACACATAGATATACTGTATACCTATGTGATCAATGCAGATTAGCATAAAGTCATTAGGACCCAGGTCATAAGTATTGCTGTACACAGACCTGGGGTCCCAGGTAAGTAGAATCTCTGGCCAATGAATCAGTGATATAAGTCAATAAATGAACTACGGGGGAGAGAGAAAAACCTGCAACACTGGAATGGGGATAGGGATCAATTTGAAATTCAGGCAAGACTGATCTCTAGGCAGACTCACCAGGAAACACATGAAGTCCAGCGCGAGGACGGTGGGGACCCCTCCAAAGGGTAGGCCCTGAAGCACGGTGCTGCGGATACGGGCTGAGTAACAGTAGTCCTTGGACTCATTGTTGGCAGAGCAGTTCTCCTGGCCTGCAATGCAGGCCCGGACACCACCTGGCCATATCCCCATGGTCACGATCAGGTGAAGACCTACAGGATCAGCACTCTGAGCAAGCTCACAGCCACATCTTCCTGGGAACCTATCGTGGAAGGAAGGAGGGAAAAGGAGGGTGAAACCACCAATTATTTCAGATAAACCACTTATGACAACAACAAAAAACACCTAAACATCGTCACTTAGGGAGAGGAATTGTGCACTTTATATAGAAATCAGAAAATATCTGAAACCTCAGATCTTTGTAAATGACTTTCTAAAACTAGAACTAAATAGAGCAAGTGCTATGCCGCTAAGGACCATTTCACAAAGCAGAATAAGTGTGTTAGGGGCACCTCACAGTAACACAATGACGCTGAAACTCAGATTTTTCACTTTACAAGTATGCCAAACGCAAACCATTGATTGCAAAATTAAACAAACCATACAACTCTATGCACAAGGACTACTTTTAACAATTTCCACAGAACATTTTACAAAAACACATTTAAATCGAAGAACAGTGCAGATGTAAAGTTTGGTACCAGAATGATGGTAAAATCTCAGTTATTTTATGTGACCACGTTTTCCAAAAACTCTTATTAACTTATTAAGCTACTTTTTTACTCCTGAACATATTTAGGCTTGCCATAACAAAGAGGATGAATACTTATTGACAAGACATTTCAGCTTTTCATTTTAAATTAATCTAAAAACATAATTCCACTTTAACATTATGGGGTAGTGTGTGTTGGCCAGTGTCACAAAATCAAAATGTAATACATTTTAAATTCAGGCTGCAACACAACAAAATGTGGAAAAGGTCAAGGGGTGTGAATCCTTTCTGAAGGCACTGTAAATTGGTAGGTCTACCTTTACTTGTTACTTCTGTGAACTTTCATTATCCTCCCTCCTCATAAGGGAGAGAAATTCAAAAATATCTAAGATATGTGGGTTTTTGGTCATGGAATTACAAGGCACAGGCCAATGTACTTAAATGTACAAATAATTAATCCAAAACGAAATATTGGTGTTGATATTAGTTAGGGGTTGTTACTTAAACATTAGTGTTTTGTATTATTTCTAATCCCTTTTAAGACTTTTTCTGGTAGATGTTTTCTAAGACCCCTTTTCCATCTGTTTGACCAGAAATATTTTTATAGCACAGTTATGGAGTGTCTTCTTCTATCAAGTGTCTGTCTGACGTAATGGAGCACTGGAATTACATTAAATGACCATCCAAAACAGTGTTTCCCCTCTTATTAGTCCAAACCCAGTGTGGGTCTTCACCTGCTTTGTGAACTAGTGCCAATTCAAACAAACAGCCGATAACAGAAAAATCCTCCCAGAGACCGACACTGCCAACAACAGAATGTGACAGAGACATGATAAGCAGACACTGTCAAAGACATCAACCAAACTCAAAGAGCAATGACATTTCAAGAAGAGCCAGACACAAATGAAATGTACTGGCTTCAATGATCTCAACTGTCTCTTGTCACAGAAAAAAAGGTAACATTATCATATGAAAGCATTATAAAATGTATTACACATGTGCTTCATCCATTATGAAGAGGGTATTCATTGGAAGTGTAAACCAAAAAGGAAGGTTTGCTCTTTCCTCTAACCAATGGGTGTCAAACTCATTCCATGGAGGGCTGGCCAAGTGTATGCTGGTTTTCATTATTTCCTTTCAATCAAATCAAATCAAATTTTATTGGTCACATGCGCCGAATACAACAGGTGCAGACATTACAGTGAAATGCTTACTTACAGCCCTTAACAAAAAAAGTAAGAATAAAACAACAACAAAAAAAGTGTTGAGAAAAAAAGAGCAGAAGTAAAATAAAGTGACAGTAGGGAGGCTATATATACAGTAAAATAAAGTGACAGTAGGGAGGCTATATATACAGGGGGGTACCGTTGCAGAGTCAATGTGCGGGGGCACCGGCTAGTTGAGGTAGTTGAGGTAATATGTACATGTGGGTAGAGTTAAAGTGACTATGCATAAGTACTTACTTAACAGAGTAGCAGCAGCGTAAAAAGGATGGGGTGGGGGGGCAGTGCAAATAGTCCGGGTAGCCATGATTAGCTGTTTAGGAGTCTTATGGCTTGGGGGTAGAAGCTGTTGAGAAGTCTTTTGGACCTAGACTTGGCACTCCGGTACCGCTTGCCGTGCGGTAGCAGAGAGAACAGTCTATGACTAGGGTGGCTGGAGTCTTTGACAATTTTGAGGGCCTTCCTCTGACACCGCCTGGTATAGAGGTCCTGGATGGCAGGGAGCTTTGCCCCAGTGATGTTCTGGGCCGTACGCACTACCCTCTGTAGTGCCTTGCGGTCAGAGGCCAAGCAGTTGCCATACCAGGCGGTGATGCAACCAGTCAGGATGCTCTCGATGGTGCAGCTGTAGAATTTTTTGAGGATCTGAGGACCCATGCCAAATCTTTTTAGTCTCCTGAGGGGGAATAGGCTTTGTCGTGCCCTCTTCACGACTGTCTTGGTGTGTTTGGACCATGATAGTTCGTTGGTGATGTGGACACCAAGGAACTTGAAGCTCTCAACCTGTTCCACTACAGCCCCGTCGATGAGAATGGGGGCGTGCTCAGTCCTCTTTTTTTTCCTGTAGTCCACAATCATCTCCTTTGTCTTGGTCACGTTGAGGGAGAGGTTGTTGTCCTGGCACCACACGGCCAGATCTCTGACCTCCTCCCTATAGGCTGTCTCATCGTTGTCGGTGATCAGGCCTACCACTGTTGTGTCGTCGGCAAACTTAATGATGGTGTTGGAGTCGTGCCTGGCCATGCAGTCATGGGTGAACAGAGAGTACAGGAGGGGACTGAGCACGCACCCCTGAGGGGCCCCCGTGTTGAGGATCAGTGTGGCAGATGTGTTGTTACCTACCCTTACCACCTGGGGGCGGCCCGTCAGGAAGTCCAGAATCCAGTTGCAGAGGGAGGTGTTTAGTCCCAGGATCCTTAGCTTAGTGATGAGCTTAGAGGGCACTATGGTGTTGAATGCTGAGCTGTAGTCAATGAATAGCATTCTCACGTAGGTGTTCCTCTTGTCCAGGTGGGAAAGGGCAGTGTGGAGTGCGATAGAGATTGCATCATCTGTGGATCTGTTGGGGCGGTATGCAAATTGGAGTGGGTCTAGGGTTTCTGGGATTATGCTGTTGATGTGAGCCATGACCAGTCTTTCAAAGCACTTCATGGCTACAGACGTCAGTGCTACGGGTCGGTAGTCATTTAGGCAGGTTATCTTAGAGTTCTTGGGCACGGGGACTATGGTGGTCTGCTTGAAACATGTTGGTATTACAGACTCAGTCAGGGACATGTTGAAAATGTCAGTGAAGACACTTGCCAGTTGGTCAGCACATGCTCGGAGTACACGTCCAATTAACCTTTTCACACATACCAAACAAACAGGTGTGATCATTCTACAGTGGTCCCTGCAGCGTACGCTCAAACCGGTGTGATTAGAACGTTTATTTAGAACGTGTGAGAATGCGGTTAATAAATTACAGCTCAGCGTTCAACACCATAGTCCCCTCCAAGCTCATCACCAAGCTGGGGACCTTGGGACTGAACACCTCCCTCTGTAACTGGATCCTGGACTTCCTAATGGGGCGGCCCCAGGTGGTGAAGGTAGGCAACAACACCTCCGCCACCCTGATCCTCAATTCGGGGCCCATCAAGGGTGTGTGTTTAGTCCCCTCCTGTAGTCCCTGTTCACCCACAACTGTGGCCACGCACGACTCCAACACCATTATCAAGTTTGCTGACGACACGACGTGGTAGAACTGATCACAGACGGCGATGAGACAGCCTACAGGAAGGAGGTCAGAGACTTGGTAGTGTGGTGCCATGACAACAACAACCTCTCCCTCAACGTCAGTAAGACCAAGGAGCTGATCGTGGACTACAGGAGAAAGAGGGGAGCATGCCCGCATCCACATCGACGGAGCTGTAGTGGAGAGAGTCGAGAGCATCAAGTTCCTTGACATCCACATCACTAAGGACTTAACATGGTACACACAGACCCGCACAATCATGAAGGAGGCTGGACAGCCCAGTACATCACTGGGGTCGAGCTCCCTGCCATCCAGGACCTCTAAATCAGGCGGTGTCAGAGGAAGGACAGCTTGGCTGTCGAAACGTTGGTTATAAAATTATTGCATCTGAGCTCCTAGAGAGTGCATCCCTCGTTTTCTTTTTCAGCTGTCAGAGGAAGGCCCAGAAAATTGCCAAAGACTCCAGCAACCCAAGCCAGACTGTTCACTCTGATACTGTCCGGAAAACAGTACCGGAGCATCAGCTCTCGGACCAACAGGCTTCGAGACAGCTTATACCCCCAAGCCTTAAGACCGCTAAATAGCCATAAAGCTGCTAAATAGTTAATTAATGGGTTACCCAGGCTACCTGCACTTACCCTATCTTGCACTCACTATGCACACTCACAAGACTATACACATCATTAGTGCTCAGTGATTAACCAAAATGTCAGTTATTAAACAACTAATTGACTGACATTGGTTCAATTAATTGAATTCCATGTAGTTATTTGTATTTCCTGTGAGCTAAATGCGCACATTGCACAGTTTCTCTAGAGATACATCAGATCCAGCCTGAACTGAGAGATGTAGCAGGGAGTTGTAGTTTCCAACAGGCCAATATTCTACATAGTTTAACGCATAAAACGTAGTAATTAGGTACAATGACCATGCTACGTTAGGTTAGTGTGGGGCAGACATGCAAAGGGAGAGAATAATGTGCGATCGTGAGGATATAGAGAGCCGCTGTTGCTTTGCGAGGTATCTCTACCTGAAAATACATGATCTAAGTGATTGATAGTTGGTATTCAGCAGTCATAAAAGTATGCATTATTTACTTTGACAGCATAGGCGGGAGCTCTATAGAGATGAGATGATGACTTGGAATGAAACAAAGTAATCAAATAAAACAAATGTAATATACACTACAACAGATTTTTGTTTTTTTAAGTAATGTGAATAAATGATTTATTACTAGTAATGGGCAGTCACTACCATCATGGGACTTTTATTAATTGTTTTATTCTGTGTTACAGCATTCAACCCAAATAATCTAA